AGAGTCTGGAGTAAATGGAATCTACACCAAAAATATATACCCTTTTCTGCGCAAGTTTCTAAATGAGGACCGTTGTCTCGAGGTTCCAGACTTGTAAAAAACAATCTGAAAGCCATATCAGTAAATTCATTAAATGTACCATAAAAGGAGAACAAAGAAAGTGTCAAGTTTCCTCGTGATCTTGGCCTCTTTCCCTCACATTGACGGGGTATGTTTTAGATTATAGATTAATCAAAATTTTTTTTACTAGGATGGCTATTGTAGGCTTTTACTTGGTATGTGCACTCTTGTGGACATCCTACAGAATAACAACAGGTTATTCTGTAGGATGTCTGTGCCATATTATGTGGCAATTTAGCAGTGTCATCCAACCAACTTCAGCCCGAACAATACAATCACCTATGCTTGTTGTAAATCTCAGACCCTCTGGAATCCAGTTGTTGACTTATTTATTTTGAAGAAGATGACATGGTCTGGGATCGCGTCTTAAATTCAGACAGAAGACATGTTTTATTGTCGATGGTAGAGACAGCACGAACAACACGAACAACAGAATGCAAGTGTATTATACAGAGCGGAGGCATGGAGACCTCCAATCAGCAGCTTCCACGGTGCCATGTAGCTTGGCCTTCAGATAGACAAAACAAGGGAAAAGTACTGGCTTCTGCACATTGATAGAATGATGAGTTTAACTTTAACAAAAGTTGCTTAAAAGTGTTATGAAATCTCACATTCCCCCCTCTGGTCACACATTCACGTGTGACCATCAGGATCGATAAACCGCAACATAAGATCATATCTCAATACTTCAAAAACTCATAAACTCGGTACTTCAAAAAACTCATAACTCGGAAAACTTCAAAAACTCATAAAACATGTTCAGATCTGTCATAAAACTTGTCAACAATCTTCAGTAAAATACCAAACTTCATCAGTCGATGGTGGTTCCAGATATTGCTTTGAAAACAGTCTCTCCCACTTCTTTGTTTTGATTCTTCAGGCTGCATTTGTGCCGAGCCATGATTCTTCTGTGACGTGTCGTTCAATCACACGTTTCAACTTTAGTGTCCAGATTCAGCAATTCAATTCAGTCCAAATTATGTCCAAATTCAGATATCCAATTGTTCCAAATCATGTCCAAATTGTTTAATCCAATTTTTCCAAATGGTGTCCATGCAAAAGAGGACGATGGTATTGTCCATGTCTCAGCAGCTCACAGCCTGACTGGAATCAGGGGCTGTGCAGATTGTCCATGGGCTGATCCAGATGCATTCTCTTGAGGTTTCTCAGTTTTGGCTTGAAAAAAAACACTTTTTGTGTAAAAAAAAAGTAGTCTTCTGTTCTCTAGATGTTACAGACAAGGCCCGCATCCTCCACCACCTGAAGAGGATGTGCCAAGTCGGGGATCGTGTCATAAATTCCGACAGAAGACATGTTTTATTGTCGATGGTAGAGACAGCACGAACAACACGAACAACAGAATGCAAGTGTATTATACAGAGCGGAGGCATGGAGACCTCCAATCAGCAGCTGCCACGGTGCCATGTAGCTTGGCCTTCAGATAGACACAACAAGGGAAAAGTACTGGCTTCTGCACATTGATAGAATGATGAGTTTAACTTTAACAAAAGTTGCTTCAAAGTGTTATGAAATCTCAAAATTTGTTATTGATATATTCCATATAGATATTTATGTATTGTTATATTCTATATATGTTATAGTCTATATACTGACATTTGTTTTATGATTGTGTCACAACATTCCAAATAAAATACAGCTGTGGTGTGAATGAATAAGGACGTATCATAGATAGATAAATAGATACTTTATTGATCCCCCGAAGGAGAAATTCAGGTGTCCAGTAGCAGCAAAAATGAAAATAAAATGTATCATTCTAAGAACACAATAATAATAATAATCAGCAACACCCCTTTAGGTCACAGCAGCACAGGTGGAGTAGCCTCTGGGTGGAGCAGGACGGGTCACAGCAGCAGAGGTGGAGTAGCCACTGGGTGGAGCAGGACGGGTCAAAAGGTGGAGTACCCGCTTGATTCAGACCATTTTCTCTGCTCTAGTCCAAAGTAAAATGCTAAATGCTTCATTAGCATTTATCAAAATGTTAGCATTCCTCCGGTGGATTTTCACCTGATCCACTTGGTTCTGACCATGAATCCTCTCCGCTCCGGTCTGGACCAGTGTAAAACCATGAACACTGTACTGCAGCAACATCTCAGGCAGAAAAAAGCAAGAAAAAGAAAATTGATGAAGCACAAAACATCAACTGTTTTAGAGCTACTTAGGACTTGCAGCCGTTTCCAGGCGTATCGTTCAAAAAAAGGGTCATCGTATCATGACCCTTTTTAAATTCCTTAATCCAGTCAATCCAGCTCAAACTCAGTTTTTAAAATCCAGGTCGTCGGCTCCAGGTCAAGTCTGATGACTGTGAATTTTTCCCAGACGTAAGACAAAAAGAGACTTGGACAAACTGCGTAGTTCAAATAGAGTTTTTATTATCAGAAGGTTTGAACGTAGTCTGATCAAGCACAACGCAGCTCCTGCAGAAGTCTGGCTGTACAGGTGAAGAGTGGCTCCTTATATACACCATAAATGTTTAGGTAAGCATAGACTTTGGAAGCATGACTATACAGAAGAAAGCGTATGGTTTCAATGTTCAAGTTGAGATGGCCTAAGATGTCATAACTATGATCTAAGTATGGCTTCGTAATGGACCAAACTCCAATGTACATGAGATAGTATTATCTCATGTTCTGTACATCAACACTTTATCTGTTTTATGCTTTTGTAAGCTGTTTAAAGTACAGGTGTACGCTATTTTGAACTCTATTGAACGGTTTAACATGATATTTTAGCAAGCAAATCGTAATTAAATATTCACATGACCTATAGTCTCTTACTAAAAAGTTAGATCGTAAATGTTTATTATGCTCTCATAATGCCTTATGCCAATGTTGCCACAAGGCTATCCAGTTACATCTTGGGACCTTCATCCTCGCCCTTCACATGTCTATTATCTACCGCTATCGAAGGTGCGTAAAACTAAGTCTCTGATTTTTTTTTTTTGCTTGTTATTTGCATAATTATAGAGGCTTGACCGCCTAAGCTAGCTAGAACAAATCTGTCAGTCCATAAAGTGCATTATCAAATGTGTGTACAAAAATCAGGCCAACCTGTTTACGGTCATTTCATTTACGACTTGTCATATTTAGCTGTTCTACTTGTACAGTGTTGGCTAGTTTAGGAGGACTAATATCCTACAAACTACATGGAAACCTTGAATAGTTCTGATCATGCAGGTTTTCTTTGTAAGTTGGTCCTCAGCGATGGGCACCAGTTGCTGATCCATACACTGCAGACCAGCAGGATGTATCATTTGGTCGACTGCGTTTGCAGTAAATGGGCCACAGCTCTGAAACTTGTAGCAGCCGAACTGAAAGAGACTTGAATGAGTTTAAAATCATTTAAAAGGAACCAAACTTGTGAGCACAATGCAAGGATAGTCTCTTGTAAATATGTTGTACTGTGTAATCTGTATTTCTATAATGATGTAGTAAATGTGACATGGAGCTTTCGCGAAAGTTCACTGTGGTAGACCCGGCTGCTGCTGCCCAGGCCACAGGCTGCTCTTCCTCGACTTATCAATACCAGCAACGCCCACATCCAGTCAACCAATAACCACCAGGACAGCAAGTTAAAAGCCGGAGACGCCCACTTCCCGGCCTTCTGAAGTCTGCAAGGTGCATGTCGCTAACGCAACTGTTCGCAAATGCATGCGTTGTTTTGGAGGGGTCGCTTCTGCTCACGTGTTGCTCGTGCGCGTGGCCCGGCTGTCCTCAGTCTGGCTGCTTGTGGTCTGCTCCTCCTCCGCGTCCCTGCACCTGCTGTGTCTCCGCCGCTCTCCTCCTCTGCGGGCTCTTTCTGCGGGCTGCTCCGCGGGGCCCCTCCGCGGGCTCTACGCTGCTCGTCTCCTCGTGGTCTGCTGCTGCGTGCAGACGGTCTGGCGGTGCCGTGCGTGTCCCTGCCTCCGATTGGCGGTGCCGCGTTGTCCCGTTGCTTCCCACGTCCGGTGGTGAGTTGCTGATCTGCGGACGGATTATTCCCTGCGCACTGGACTGCAGGCGTCAGTTTTCACCCCATGCTTGGTCTGCAGGCTCCGATTTCACATGTGTTCGAGCTAACTGAGGGACAATGCATATTAAATGGCAATACTCTTTATCGTCTGAGGGATATAAGAGGAGCAATGTGCATTAATTCAGATTCATGTTCTGCCACTTGCAGTAAAACCACGTTGGAAGAATTGCAAGACTGCCCCAGAGTGCTCCAGACAGCACACACCAGAGCTCTTGCCACGGCGCCATCTTACAGCATTAATCTATTACTCGCAGGTCACTACTGTTAAATGAAATGTATTTAAATTAGTTTATCTGAGGGATAATAATGGAGGGGCCATGCATTTAAATAGCTAGGTCACTAGGTAACTAAACTGCAGTTGTTGCATTTTGAAAGTGCAGCAGAAAGAAAAAGGGCCCAATGTGAATCTGCAATGGGTTTGAAGTGGAGTTGGAGCTAATGAACGTGTGGAAAAGTGATCGTTCATGCGTATCTGCCATAACCAAAGCTGCAAGATGGCTCCAGGAGACATCTGTTATTCGCATGGGAATGTTTCGGATTCAGGTTAATTTATTTCCTGAGGCTCTTAACTCTTTCAGTGCCAATGACGCATATTACGTCAATTCTAGATCTATGCTTGTGTGCCATTGACGCATTTTATGCAATTGACGTGTTTTGGTGTATTCAGATCCAGACGCATCCATTCTATCATATCTCTGATCGGGACTGTTTGACAGTATTTTATTCGGCCAGCAGATGTCAGTAGCGTCCTTTAGCTCTTCGATCAGGCATAAAAGGAACCGGATGCCCAGATCTCATTGTGGGAGTAGGTTGGTTAGAGTGAGCACACGAGAGTAATCGGGAGAGCGAACATGAGCAGAAAGCGGCAGCTAACGATGGAGGAGGCGTTTGGTGCTGGTGGTACCATCAGAAGGTCGGTGGGTGATGGCCATGATGAAGGTGGAGGTGATCTGCCTCGGCCTTCAGTTGGCAAAAAGCCTAAGGCTACGGCTAAAGCTACTGCTAAGCATCTGGCCGTTGGCGGGAGTCCTTGCCGCGCACGTCGCTCCAGAGCCGCCGCGCGCAGTTCCAGTGGTCCACGTCGGTCCAGAGAAAGTTCCTCGTCGGATACAGGCTCTTCAGAGCTATGGGAACCTGAAGCTGACCCAAACAGCAGTGACTCATCCCCCGATTCCCCCAGAGCAACCGGCAGAGCAGGTAAGGCATACATTATACATATGTATTTAGCAATGAAATAAAAGTATTCTTGTATAATTCTCATGATTGTATTTGTGTGTATTTCTAGTAAGCAGAGTGCTGGCCCAATCCAGGAGTACTAATGCTGGTAAAAGGAGGCCTACAGGTAAATAAAATACTCATATATGTATGTATATATGCATGTGTGTCTATATGTATGTGTATAATATGTATGTATGTGTAGTGTGTGTGTACGTGTGTCTCTGTGCGTGTGTGTCTGTGTGGTTTGGATATGTGCGTCTGTAGATGTATATGTATTTGGATATGTGTGTATATGGATAGATGAGTTATTGTACAATTCTATACAGGCGCTACATTGAGCAGAGGCGCTGCCAGCGTGAGTCCTGCAAATACAGGTGTGAAGAAAAGAGGTAGGAATATCTTTCTCTACATCACATCAAATCAATGAAACGAGCTCTATTTCATTCCTATTTATTGTATACATTTCCATTATTTATTAAAGTTGCAAAGGGTAAAGGCGGCACCTGGCGGAAATCCGGATGGAAACCCACTGTGTTCCCCTTCACTGCAACGCCTGGTCCCCTGAACGTGGCAGCAGAGCTGGAGTCCACCTCGCCTGCTGACTTCCTGGAGCTGTTCCTCACGGACGAGCTGCTCCAGCACATCACAGAGCAGACCAACCTCTATGCTCAGCAGCATTTCCTGGCAAACCCAGAGATTCCGCAACACAACAGAAAGCATGCATGGAGACCAGTGACCATTCCAGAGCTAAAAAAGTTCTTTGCGTTATCTTTCCTCACCGGTGTTATCCACAAGCCAACCCTGGCAATGTATTGGAACGTGGATGAGATGTTTGTGACCCCGTTCTTCACTAAAATAATCCAACTCATATGGAGGTTCCTCCATTACAATGACAACTCTGCAATTGATGTAACTGACAGGTTATACAAGGTTCGCCCCGTCTACGACTACCTGATCAATAAATTCAAGGTAATGTTCCAACCCGGGCAGAATATTTGCATAGATGAGGGGATGTTGCTCTGGAGAGGACGGCTGGCCTTCAAGGTCTACAACCCACAGAAGCCCATAAAGTATGGAATAAAGTCCTATGTGCTCTGCGACTCTGCCACCGGCTACTTAATTAATTAGTTAGAATGGGGAACATATTCTCAGCTATAACTAATTAATTAAGAGCTAATTGACAAAAATGAGAATGTTATTTGTGTTTTATTTCTAAAGATCTGTCCATGTTCATCAAGAGGTAATAATGGCTAACAACAGTTTGTGTATTATTAACACTTAATAAGACCCATAATCCCAGATGCATTTTCACACTATAACAACTATGTAATTGCTGGCTAATGAGTAATAAAGAACTAATAAATGGGAAAGCGCCAGTTAATAGTGAGTTAGATGTTGAATAAGGCCATGTAGAATAAGGACTAATAAGTGATTAATAAATACCAATAAAGAGCTAATTAACCATACATTAATACACTAATTAGCACTTAATTAGCTGTTAGTTAGTGGGTGCTAAAATAAAGTGTGACCGTCTTTCTATATTCTGTGTATGTGCGCCGGTTTGTGGATCAACAAAGTTCTCTTTATGGTTGACCGTTGTGTGAGAGTAGCCTTCATTGCGAAGACAGCGGTAAGCCCTCCATCCATCAGAAACTATAGAGCTTCCATGACGAACATGTCTCTTTATTTGAGGAATAAGATGGTCAGTTGAGCGATGGGGGACAATCTTCAGAATTGGTCTCCTTCTTTGTTCTTTAATTCCGAGTATGCCAAATACCCAGGAATTCCGGCTACTTGTTCGACCTCTGTTGTACTGCAATCCACAAAAGACAAATCAGTGATTGACAAGATATGATTTAAAAATCTACACACGTAGCCGTTACAGCGCCGGCGCGCCGTTTTTGTTTTTAAAATGTTCAACCAGCAATAACAGATGCATTTTGAACACCAAACCCCAAAAGCTGTATGTCATTTTAAAGCTTATTTTCGTATTTACAATTATATACAAGTGCAATATCAGACATTGCATTCAAAAGATATAACACATAATATGGGAACAAAATGAATCAGCTCCGAAAAAGTTTACCATTTTCCGTGTACTACATAAATAAATCAGCTCTCAGTTTACAAACCTTTCTTTTATGTCCGAATTTGCTTTCGTCAATGAGAACAATCTCTCCTCTTCTTCCTACAATCTGTTTTCCTCTTCTTCTCATCCTTTGCACAGCCGCTTTACAAACTTTGCGCAATACATGTGCAAGTTTGGTCAGACTTGCAGAGCTCCCAGTAATCCCTTCCTGCAGCATGTCTATTTGTCGAAGGTGAAGGCCTTGGGCAAATCTGTAAAATATATGCATATAACGAATCGATTGTAAAACTTTAGATTCAATCAGATTTTGAGTCCTGATCCAATGCTTTTTGTCATTGACATTGTAAATTATAAAACTACATTTTTTGCAAGTAAACTCATTTATTTTGAGTGCTATTTTGTATAACTCAATATTTTGAGTTTCCTTACTTACTTGAGTTCACTGTGAAGAAATATGATGCATCATTCATAAATTATACAAATTATGAATCAAAATTTCTTCATAGTTTTCAGGGCGAGGAGACAGGAGTGTTGTACAAGTTGGTGATTTTGAGAGCAGGAATTCCCTAATTATTTAATGCTGTAATTTATACAGGTGAAGTACAGATTGACACAAATATTTCTGACCTTTAAAATGTATGAAATACTACAGACCAAAACCAGAAAAACACAAATGTTTACTAATAAGACAAACATGTACATTTAAGTCTGTGTCATTACTAAATACGTTTATTTTTTTTGATTATTTGTAAATTAATCTTTTTAGTCCTACACGTGTATTCGATGGGTATCACTTTAAAGTCTACTTCAAACATTAAGTGGATTGGATTCAAGTAAAGTCAAGTAAAGACAAAGACAGAACACAGTGTAAAATGTACCTGAAAATGAAATGCATCCATATTGACAGTTTAACATGTGATCCTTGAAATATGGAGCCACATCTGATGGACCTAGAGATGGACTTGCCTCCGTGACAAATGTCTCTGCACAACCTAATAAAAAAATAAATAAAGATGTTACATATTACTCACAGCCACAAAAATAGAATTAAAATTAAAAAAAAGATAATAACTGAGCAGTCATGCTTAAGCCATGCGTACTGAAACGGAATATTAGCAAGTCTTTTCTACCTCAAAATTGGGTCAAGTACAACCTTATAGATCCCTGGGTAGAACACCAAATGCCCGCGTGCTGTTGTATAGCTTTTGTATGTGTTTACTCTGCCCAATCTATGGCCACTTCCCTAACTAAAACATGGGTGACAGCATATTAGCGCTAAAGCTAATGCTAACATTTTTCTTTCAAAAAGCAGTAAGGTCTTCCTATCTGGAGGTTAGTATAATTACGGCTCAGTATAATTCAAACTGTATAGCTACACATACTCACCATGCAGCCTCCTTTTCTCCGTATGGTGGTTTAAGCCTCATGCCATGATAGCAAGATGGACACTTCTTTGAACTTGCAAGCAGCCCAAGTTTCATTAACCATCGGGTTATTTTTCTCAAAAAGTTAATATTAGGCATCTTGAATAAAGGTACGCTGATCAGACCAGACCACCAGACGCAGTTTTTTCATCAAAAGCGGAAGCATTTGCGGAAGCCCCTCCCGCCTTTCTCCTCTCTCTCTCTGGCGCTTCCGCTCCTCCAAGTCCGCTGATAGACATGTTTACTGTATCAGCCAATCACTGTCCAGCTTATAGTAAGAACAAAATATACAAAAAAGTTGCGGTACGATTAAAATATATATTTTTTTACCTTAAACATATATCTTTTATCGCCATTTAAGGCCTATTTCACGGTTGACGTCACAATGCGGAAGTAAATCAAATGTCGGGTATGACGACTTCCGGTGCGCTGTTTCTGTAAAGGACGACAAGAATGGATTCGGCCAGCGCGACCAACTTCTCCAAATCCTTGCGGAATTTGCCGAAAATGACGATGGAGGACGTGATACGGATAGCATCTGAGTTGTCACTAACAACATGTTCAAAATTGGAAAAGGGCTACAAGTTGTTTGTGGAAAAATATGTGTTCAACTATGAAGGTAAGTCACCATTTGTCTGACGGATTTGTGCTCAGTGCTGTATTAAATGGTGTTTTAATTAGCCTTAGTTCATTTACACTTGGAATGAGCTAAATAAGAGTAAACAAATAGTTGAACTAACTAACAGGCCCTTCTTGTAATTGTTTTTTACCAACAAGCATTAAGGTAACGGAGAAGCATGATGGATGATGGATGATGGAGCCATGATTTACGGGTGGATTTACATACTATGTAATGGAGCAGTGAAAATACGCTTTTGCTGGGTCTACCAAAACTGTTTGATAATGCTATACTGTCAGCATGAGCATCATAAAAAATATGTAGTTAGATTTGAAATATATAGTATGTATATTGTTGATCACTTTCATGTTTCAAATTTTGTTAAAAGTTTCACTTATCATTCAAATATTTATGAAATATATAAAGAAATGATTATTTTTTAATATTTTGTGTTTTATTGTGTATTATATGTATATGTAGTGTCAGGAATAGTAGGAGGAGAAGTGGAAGTTCGGACAAGATGCTACAGGTCTATGAGGAAGCGTGAGGTGCCACATAACCTACAGGTTTACTTTGAAACACTGCTATTTACTGCCGTTGCAGTTTGTTCTCATCCAGTTGATAAAGTTGCTGCTGTTGCAGCGAGTTCTGTTTTCTCCTCTGCGTTATTGTCTGTTGTCATTCTACATGTTCTGTGTGCGCCTGCTAATGGCAACATTGTGACTGATGTGTTTTTTAATTACAGATAAACCTGAAATCTGGAGAGGTTCCTGTGAAGGTGATGTCCACCAGTTGTTCCTGTGCTTCAGAAAAGATTTTGTGCAACCATCTGGTTGCACTTCTCTATCAAAGTGCACATTTCAGCACCCTGAATTTGAGTGTGGTTCCGGCAATCTATTAAAGTCAAATACAGTAAACTAAAAGTTCTGTTGCACGAGTATATTTACATTTCATTTTATTCATGCTTTTTATTTTAAAGAAAATCTTAACATACAAAACAAGACGCATTGAAAGTATGAATCAACAGACAATACAGATGGTGACATGCAGATCAGATTCAAAGAGATTCAAGATACATAGAGAACATGGATTACCTAAAACAATTAACTTTTTAAATCCTTCCACTTACTATTGCGATGCTGATCAACTGAAGTTTAAATCTAACTACAGTGGTGTAAAATACATGTTATTCTTGATTGCCAAAGTTAGACAAAACAAAAAACATTTAAAATTATATAAGTATAGAACATTACACTGGCTTGTCATGTTTAATACCCAAAGGTCCTTGGTAGTGTGTTAGCAAGCAACAAACTGCCCAAAGCTGGTTGATGGTGCCAGTCAAGGAGAGGGGCACAACGCTATCCCAGATATGGTACTCCTTCACTCTGCGTATTGCCCTCTCCACGAGCACTCTGAGACGAGCAATTGCTTGGGTTTTATGGGCATCAGCAGCAGAGAGTTGGGATGTGGTTTTGAAAGGTGGAATGATTAAGTGTGCACCAATTTGTGACAACTCTTCCTCAATGACAAAACCCTTGTCAGCCATGACTCCATCTCCATAGGAGAGCAGTTGCAATAGACCACATCTCATAGTAATTTCTTTGTCCGAAATTGAGCCAGTGTACAGCTTTGACACAAATGTAACAACTCCACAGGGAGCGATACCAATCAAGCCCTTGAAAGTGTTGTTGTTTTTATAGGTCGAAAATGTTTCCGATTGTAAGGTAAGGGAGGCTGGTATCTCACAACGCACCTCAGTACAGTCCACAATCACACGCACATTGGGGCAGTACTGGCGAAATGTGTCTGGCATTGTAGCTTGTACCTGTGCTCTCGTCATCCAAACTGGCTCTGCCCCAAGAACTTGAAACAGGTAGTTTGCCCAAGTGATGACAACACGACTCACTGTCGAGACACTGATGTCAAAGATAGAAGCCAGTACTTTTTCTTTCAGTCCTGCAGCAATGCGACAAAGGAAAAGAAAACATTCATCTATCAGAGGGAGTTTGCGTTGAAGGGCAGGACCCTGTGCCATGCTCTGTGCCCTTGTCCAGTAGACCATCCTAGAAGCAGATGGCTGCAGAGTTTCCCAAAACGCTATGAAGACCTCCTCCGATGGGAATCGGGTGTAGAAACGGAAATCGCTGTCAGAGGCACAAAAGCGGTGGCACTTAGGTTGCTTTAGTTGTAAGGTCATCTCTGTCAGTTGTAATTGTAGTTGCTGCAGTTGCGACTCCAGCCTCTGATTTTCTTCTGCCAGTGCATCAATGAATCCTTAGAAAAAACAAGTACAATCAGATTTAAGTGAGGAGAAAATCATAAAATATATAAAACTTTATTTATATAGCTCTTTTCATACAAATTGTGACACACAGGCACACACACAGCTAATGAAAAAAGTAATGTTTAGCTATGGCAATAACTATTAAGATGAAGAGATCCTTTATTCGTCCCACAGTGGAGAAATTTCAGTGTTGAATCACAAGTTATAGAACAGTAGGAAAGAGGAGCACACAGCACAGGATTAGTGAACAATAGCTTTACTAATTAAAATAAAGCGAAATCTCTAACTCCAGCATCAAATAACAAGTATAAAATCTCTAATAAAAAGAAGGGTAAAAGTTTTACATTTGCCTAAATAAGAGGCAAGTATAAAGTACTGTGTATTCTAGTGCAAGCAAAGTGTAGTTATATGATAGCATCTGTACATTAGCAGCTGTATGTTTACATCAGAATCATTTTTATTGCCACGTAAGAAACAGGAAGTTACAGACTTGGAGATTGCTTTGGCTCAGTGCAACAGTCAGAAAGAGAGGTAAAGACTAGAGAAGGCATAATAAAAAATAAAAAGCACTTCTAAGGAATACATTTATAAGAGATTACATACATAAACGTAACCTAAAATGTACCTACCGGGCGTGGGGGGAGTAGCATAGTCGTGGTCAGCACAGGCAGCTCCCTCGCTCTCAGCTGTTTCCACAGTGTCTTCCTCCTCACGGAGATCGACCCCCAGCCTTTCGCTGGCTCTCTCATACACTGACTGGCGATGAGGGGGATTAAAGTTGTTCCAAGCAAATTTGGATGGCATTACACCTTTCTTTAAACGTCGACGACCCTTGGGAGTGGTGTAAATATCGTCAGCCTGAAAATGAAGGCTACACACGTAGCTACTGCCACGAAGCACTGAAAAGGTAGCACCCAAATCTCTACGAATCGCTCTCACCCAGGCCGATCGAGTCACTTTCTCGGTTGGAAATTCGTGAAAACTAAGATACGGCTGATGCTGCTTGTTAGCTTTACAAAAAGGTACACTACACCAACATTTCCAGCTAGATTGAGCCATTATTTTGGAGATTGAACAGGATCCGCTAGCAACCGGAAGTCGTCATACCCGACATTTCATTTACTTCCGCATTGTGACGTCAACCGTGAAATAGGCCTATTGTGTTTTCATACTTCTTAATTTGTACTGCCAATCAGTTTAGGACCCGCCTTCTTGAGCGGGATTCTGACCCGCACTAACCTCGCTAGTTCGCTCTGTTGTAATAACCTAGCGTGGGCTCAACTGGATTGTTACAAACAAAGCGTTACAACTTATAAAGAAAAAGTCAAAGATGGTAAGTTAATCTTTGGTTCCATTTCACAGCACACGTGGTAGTTTGTATTATATCGAGCAAAAATTATATACACAAAGTTTGCACGTTTTTACGGAATGGAAAATTTGCCGTGGTCACACTGTTAGCTAACTTCGATGATAAGTTACTCTGGTCACACTTAGCTAACTTCAATGATTGTGCTTTTAAACAACATCCCCACATAATAAAAGTAAGCTGTGACAGCAGATTTCTTTTTTAAGCAAACACAAATGATCTAAAGGAAATTAATTACCACAATTACATTTACTCAAGTAACGTTATTTACTGTTCACAGCCTAAAGCTCAAAAGAAGCGAAAGAGTGTTCCAATGGAGGCCCCAGCGTCACCAGAGTCACCCCTGAACCTGACACAGTGTGTGCCAGAAGGTTAGTAGTAGTATTTTTTAAAATATTTTTAGGTGACTTAATTATGTTTTATTATTTATTTTACAGATCAAGAAAGCGCTCCAAGTTGCAGCAGCCAGAGTGGAAGTGTGGAATCAGGTTTTGTTTGTTTAATTGTAATAATGACAACACTAGACATGGTTGTGAAAGTCATGGCATATGCTCATAACACAGACTTCCATCTAGTAGGCTTAAAAAAGTGCACCAATGTAACACATTGTAGCACACACAAAATCTAATTATTTTTAGTATATTAAAATATTTAGTAATATTGAATTTTTATCTGTTTGTGTGTTTCAGTGTCGAAAATTACATTCCTGCAAGCCAAAATTGAGTGGCAAGAGAAAATGATTTTAGACCTGGAGGAAGAGCGGAAGTTTCTTCGGGAACAATTAATGAGAGAAAATAAGACCACATGTAAGTAATATACAGCATTTTATAAAAACGTTCATTGTCTTTTGCATGAATACATCTTATTAATTCAATGTTTTGCTTGCAGCTCAACGTAAACATACAAAAACAAAACAGGATTACTATTCAGACACCGAAATACCATCATCACCAAACATGAGCGAAAGCGACAGCGATGGTACTGTATTGAAGAAGAAAAAAATCAGACAGTCTTATGATTTTTTGTGAGTGTTGATGAGCACCATCCTGCGCACCCTGGAGAAACACTCAGCCAGAGGAGGCTCCAGCACGGCCCCACACAGAGGGTTCATGCTCAGGTTCAGGAAGTCCAAGTGCGGGATGTTGGACACAATTGTGAAGATCTCTCCCCAGTCCTGCAGCTGGTTGTAGGACAGGTCCAGCTCCACCACATGGGCACAGAAGGCGGCAATGTCTGAGCCCTGCCCGGCCTTACTGATACTGCAATAGTTGAGCACCAGAACACTGGGTACGAACAGTCGATCATTGCGAGCGTTACCCTTGCTGGGCAAGCCAGGTGGCGTGGGCAGCATGACGATACCAAGGCCTTGGCCTCTGGAGTAGGGGAAGTTGTCCGGGTTGTACTTGTCACTGATGACCTGAACAAAGGTGTGCACCTCCTCTTCATCTGAGGAAGACTCCATTCTACCGCGATGATGGAGCACCTCGAAAGTGGACCAAATGCCGTGTTCAGGATCTGCAGCTCAGATCAAATGATGCTGCCACCCGCCCCACGGTCGTTGTGTGTCCGCTCCGCAGAACGCGTTTGTTGTTGTCCTTCGAACAGTTGACAGTTTGAAAGAATACAGCTCTTACCACACTGGTTGTTTACGTTTGTCCGTTTGATAACCATGCGCTGGACGGCATCGCCTTAGCTCTTTATTGGTATTTATTAATCACTTATTAGTCCTTATTCTACATGGCCTTATTCAACATCTAACTCACTATTAACTGGCGCTTTCCCATTTATTAGTTCTTTATTACTGCTCATTAGCCAGCAATTACATAGTTATAGTGTGAATATGCATCTGGGATTATGGGTCTTATTAAGTGTTAATATTACACAAACTGTTGTTAGCCATTATTACCTCTTGATGAACATGGACAGATCTTTAGAAATAAAACACAAATAACATTCTCATTTTTGTCAATTAGCTCTTAATTAATTAGTTAGAATGGGGAACATATTCTCAGCTATAACTAATTAATTAAGAGCTAATTGACAAAAATGAGAATGTTATTTGTGTTTTATTTCTAAAGATCTGTCCATGTTCATCAAGAGGTAATAATGGCTAACAACAGTTTGTGTAATATTAACACTTAATAAGACCCATAATCCCAGATGCATATTCACACTATAACTATGTAATTGCTGGCTAATGAGCAGTAATAAAGAACTAATAAATGGGAAAGCGCCAGTTAATAGTGAGTTAGATGTTGAATAAGGCCATGTAGAATAAGGACTAATAAGTGCTTAATAAATACCAATAAAGAGCTAATTAACCATACATTAATACACTAATTAGCACTTAATTAGCTGTTAGTTAGTGGGTGCTAAAATAAAGTGTGACCGTCTTTCTATATTCTGTGTATGTGCGCCGGTTTGTGGATCAACAAAGTTCTCTTTATGGTTGACCGTTGTGTGAGAGTAGCCTTCATTGCGAAGACAGCGGTAAGCCCTCCATCCATCAGAAACTATAGAGCTTCCATGACGAACATGTCTCTTTATTTGAGGAATAAGATGGTCAGTTGAGCGATGGGGGACAATCTTCAGAATTGGTCTCCTTCTTTGTTCTTTAATTCCGAGTATGCCAAATACCCAGGAATTCCGGCTACTTGTTCGACCTCTGTTGTACTGCAATCCACAAAAGACAAATCAGTGATTGACAAGATATGATTTAAAAATCTACACACGTAGCCGTTACAGCGCCGGCGCGCCGTTTTTGTTTTTAAAATGTTCAACCAGCAATAACAGATGCATTTTGAACACCAAACCCCAAAAGCTGTATGTCATTTTAAAGCTTATTTTCGTATTTACAATTATATACAAGTGCAATATCAGACATTGCATTCAAAAGATATAACACATAATATGGGAACAAAATGAATCAGCTCCGAAAAAGTTTACCATTTTCCGTGTACTACATAAATAAATCAGCTCTCCTCCCAGCTTGCTATGGCTTATTCTCTCCATTACTGTCCATGGAAAACGGAAATCCACTTGTGTTTCCCAAAGTATAATCCATTGTGCAGAAATCATCCAAAAACGAGCATTTATTTTTAGCGAGAAAAAAAAATTGAAACAGCACGGACGCTGCTTTTCACTGTTTGCGGAGATGCAGCTTTGCCTTTCCCCCACAAAGAGGGTATGCTTGTGTTCCTCACCTTGTTAGCTACACAATGAGACTATCCCCGAAGAGATAGGTGCTTGATTTCGTTCGCTGCGTCTCTGAATAAAACAAGCGACTCCCTTTTACGCACTGCCACTTTCTGTTTGTTGTTAGCAGGGCAGGGAGGGGGACGTGGTAGAGCCGAATGAATGACATGGCCGTGTAGCCAATGAGGAAAGCTTTCGAACAAGGGGTGGGACAATGGTGTCCTGTCTTATGTTGTGCCTGTAGGATTGTGCGTAATGGCAGCTAAAAGACGCTCTCGAAGCTGCAATGAATTTACACTCATAAAAAAATAACTTTGACATTTAAAAAAAAAAAAACACACACATAGATTAGTAACTTATAAGTACCAATAATAAAAAATATTGTTTTTATGATGATTAAATGCAAGTAAAGATATTTACTTGCATTGATAGAATTGTGCCAAATGTGCACTACTTGATGAAAAGGAGAAACTGCATAAAAACTATAAAACTTAGAAGTCTGAAACTTTAGACAGTTGTTGTCAACAACACAATGACCACAGGGTTTGAATATTGTGAACTTACAATGAAGTATGCCTTTTTTAGGGCCTTTAGAAATTAAAAATGTTAGGCGAGGCTAAAAAAATTGGGTTTTTTTCCCAAACTTCAAAGGATGCAGAAGGAAATAGGAATGACAAACATTATTTTAGTGTTTTTTTACATAAACTAGAAGGCTCTAGCTTTAAAATGATGCATCACACAAGCATGTGAGATGTAAGATGTGTTTTTAAATAAGCAAAGACATTTGGGTATGCCCAACCATTGTGCACGAGCCAAAATGAGGCGGGTGTTAAGAGGTTATACTACCAGGTACACCTGGTAGTATAACCTACAGTTTTGCTTGCAAATAAAAATAGTCCACATCGCTAATTTGTACAAACTCATATGCTCATACTATTGCTACTGAATTAAGGTTTTATTTGTCTGAGATGCAAAACTCTCACACAATTGAGACCTTTATTGCAAATACCTTTCTTGGGATTACTGAGATGTCTATTAGCACAGTTTACAAACCTTTCTTTTATGTCCGAATTTGCTTTCGTCAATGAGAACAATCTCTCCCTTCTTCCTACAATCTGTTTTCCTCTTCTTCTCATCCTTTGCACAGCCGCTTTACAAACTTTGCGCAATACATGTGCAAGTTTGGTCAGACTTGCAGAGCTCCCAGTAATCCCTTCCTGCAGCATGTCTATTTGTCGAAGGTGAAGGCCTTGGGCAAATCTGTAAAATATATGCATATAACGAATCGATTGTAAAACTTTAGATTCAATCAGATTTCGAGTCCTGATCCAATGCTTTTTGTCATTGACATTGTAAATTATAAAACTACATTTTTTGCAAGTAAACTCATTATTTTGAGTGCTATTTTGTATAACTCAATATTTTGAGTTTCCTTACTTACTTGAGTTCACTGTGAAGAAATATGATGCATCATTCATAAATTATACAAATTATGAATCAAAATTTCTTCATAGTTTTCAGGGCGAGGAGACGGGAGTGTTGTACAAGTTGGTGATTTTGAGAGCAGGAATTCCCTAATTATTTAATGCTGTAATTTATACAGGTGAAGTACAGATTGACACAAATATTTCTGACCTTTAAAATGTATGAAATACTACAGACCAAAACCAGAAAAACACAAATGTTTACTAATAAGACAAACATGTACATTTAAGTCTGTGTCATTACTAAATACGTTTATTTTTTTTGATTATTTGTAAATTAATCTTTTTAGTCCTACACGTGTATTCGATGGGTATCACTTTAAAGTCTACTTCAAACATTAAGTGGATTGGATTCAAGTAAAGTCAAGTAAAGACAAAGACAGAACACAGTGTAAAATGTACCTGAAAATGAAATGCATCCATATTGACAGTTTTAACATGTGATCCTTGAAATATGGAGCCACATCTGATGGACCTAGAGATGGACTTGCCTCCGTGACAAATGTCTCTGCACAACCTAATAAAAAAATAAATAAAGATGTTACATATTACTCACAGCCACAAAAATAGAATTAAAATTTAAAAAAAGATAATAACTGAGCAGTCATGCTTAAGCCATGCGTACTGAAACGGAATATTAGCAAGTCTTTTCTACCTCAAAATTGGGTCAAGTACAACCTTATAGATCCCTGGGTAGAACACCAAATGCCCGCGTGCTGTTGTATAGCTTTTGTATGTGTTTACTCTGCCCAATCTATGGCCACTTCCCTAACTAAAACATGGGTGACAGCATGTTAGGATTTAAGCAGACAGAGACGGATCGTGGTGTGCCAAACTCTGGAAGTTTATTTAGGTTTCTCTCAAGTTCCACTGGTTTCCTCTGTTTCTTTCTCCCAGACAGAATAAAGGCAGTACACAGTTTATATAGTCATTGTCACGTCACACATCGAAAGACATACGTGTCACAAAGAGACAGTCACATCATAGTCATAACATGGAGTCCTTGTAGAGTCCTGCACGTAGGCCATATTGCTATCTAATACTAATACCCTCCCCTTTGATCACATAATCACATGTGATCACTCAATTTGATCAATCAATAAAGTGGAAAAAGAAAAAAAAAAAAAAAATCCTAAAAAAAAACTTTAAAAACTTATTAAAAACAAAGAAAATGTATGCATTAAACTCATAATCATCAAATCAATATCAGTGGATTTTATCCTCTATCCTGGGAAAAAATAAACAAACAAACAAAAATAAAGTAAATAAACAAACAAAAAACAAAAACAAATCAAAAAATAAAAACAAACAAAAATACTATTGGACACACAAGAACTCAGCAGATTCAGTCAAAACACAGACAAAAACGAGCTGAGTCTCAAATTAGAAGCTAATTTAACTTTTATTACTCTATACTTTTATTCTAATGCTGATTGTTTACACTTCACTTATTTCACTGTATTATTTTCACTTTTTAATCTTAGACTGTGTACTTTACTTTGACTATTCACTATAGTTTAAAACTATTCTAATCTATTCACAAATATGTTTGTGTATTTGCTTCTATTGAGCCATATTCTTAAACATACATTTTAATCTAATAAATCTCTCTTTAGTTTACTCTCATTATCAGTGGCTTATTGTTAGTGGGATTTTACTCCATGTCTATTCTCATTCTCAGGAATAAAACTGTGAACACAGTAAGGCAAATGGTCAACATTTACACTTCTATAGTGGTCAGTGATTTATTACTTTTTATTATCTAAAGATATTATTGTCAGGCAGTTTGGGATGAATGTACATCTTTAATCAAATTAGTATTATCCTTACAAGAGCTAATCTATTTGAGCAGGTTTGGGGTTGGGGTCAGTTATTCTACAATGGTGTTTGTGCTGGAAACTTCTCAATATCTAAATATCTACTATTGTGTTTTTGTGCTATACACAAATACATCTAAATGCTTTTGAATCTCTGTTGGTTGTAATCTATCTCATTAATCTAGGCATTAATCTAGACTACACTCATATGGACTTTTGCATTGTCAACATTCACTCATGTGTGAACACAAGTGAATTTGGCAAGTATCTAATAAAACTGTACATAAACTGTAATTAACTTTATCTACTTTTGAAGTAAATGCTTGTGAAATGGTCCCTTTACCATTTGATATTAACACTGGCTACAAATAATCTCTATTTTTGAAAGAATCTATGGTTGATGCATTTATCTATTCCTATTTTTACACTATTGTGACTCAAAAGCTTGGCTGCAGCTTGAGTCTCTCTAACTCTTAACAGCTTTGCGTTTGCACCTTGAGCAAACACATATTCCTAATTTGTGACTTCTGTCACTTTCAATATCTCTAAAATAACGTAACTCTGATTCTAATATTATAGCTGATCTATCAAAAGGATAACATTGTAGGGTACTATTTTAACTCTTATGTGGAAATATGTTTATGAACAACAAAGGAAGGACAATTCTACTCTTTTACTACTATTTAACATCTACTAAAACGCTACAATACTCATACTTTATCATTTTCAAAGTTTTTGTCTGTCAGATGTCTGAATACTTAACATGTATATTGCATTTGTTCACAGTTGTGGTTGTAGCAAAAGCATCGGCAATAGACGTTTTTCATTGGCTGGTTCTTGTTCTGCAAATGGCTGTGTCCAATAGATCATCAGATGTCCAGAAGCTAGGGACAAACAAAAACAAAAGAAAGAATCATGAGTATCTCTCTCATTTAGCACTCATCAATGTATGATTTCAAAAATATAAACATCACTCCCCAGTTTTCTCTCAGGTCCTCAGGTCCTCAGGGGACCTGAGGGTGAGTCTCAGTCGTCATCAGGTCAGGTCATCTTGGACATCAGTAGGGTCCAAGCCATGGTTCTGGTCTCTCCAGTTGGACATCGGATCTCCAGATACAGTCTTTTCAGTTGAAGCACATCAGGTCATTTGCGATGCACTTCTGGTCAATGGTGCAGTGTCTCAGTTCCTGTACACAGCTTGTAATGCAGTAGTTACTCTCTATGGTTAAGTCACTTTGATTCTACTTTAACACAATTTCTATTCATGCTGTTGCTTCTGTCCCTTAGACAAAAGCAAGCGCAATTTACTTCTCTAATTTGTATTTTTATCAGATCTAATCCTAATCAATGTAATTACTTCACACAGTACAAAATCAACAAATCAAAAGTGTCAGGACAGAGGTCAATTATGTCCATGACAATATAGAATTCAAATGAACATTTCTGGTCTCAAAAAATACTGATTCAACTTAAGATTCAAGTGATAGACAATTAAAAATATGTGTTTACATTGGAGTAAACTTTTAAAATGCTTTTTTCATGTTCTGCTTTTTCATGTATCTATATGTAAATGTGAATGTGTGAGTGTATGTGTGTGTGTGTGTGTATGTGAATTTTGGGGTTGTGTCTCAAGACTCCTCGAACCACCTGTAGGTGTCAAAGGTCACACTGTGGTGATGCAAACCAACTGGACACACTCTCAACTCTCATTCAGGTCTCTCCCTGACGCTCCACCCATCACTGCCTCCAGAAACCTCCACTTTGTGGCCCCGGTCTCACTCCCACTTACTTCTGTAGTGGGGGGAGGGGCAAGGAGGTGGCATTTCCCTTTGCTCTTTGATCTGTGACCTGTGGCTGGGTGGGCTTTGGTGTCCAGTGTCCAGCAGTCCAGTGACCCTGTACAGTGTGTGCTCTTGGTTCTGGAAAACAACCTTATAGTCAAATTAAAAACAACAGAGATTGTGAATGAGATTGTTTTTCTCCCTAAAGTCAAAACAATTTTGGAGCGCTCTGGGTTTTTCCCACATGCGCTATATAAATAAAGATTACTTATTATCTTACTAATGATGACATTTGAAGACCAGAAACGCTTAATATAAAAAAAAAAACAAGACTCAAATCTCAAAAAAACCTTTAAACTTTAAAATATGTATTATGTACTTTTGTACTGTGTGTTTAATTATCTTGAACATCCTTGGGTTTCACTTTATGGACTTTCCCTTTTACACTTATTTATCTCAGCATCTATTCTACTAATTTAAAATAATTGCAGCATTTTTCAAATTAAGTCAATATGAATTGGAGCACATTTTAGAGCCAGTCTCCTCTGCTGTGGCATCAGCAGGAGTAACAAGGTCAGGCGTGTAGTCATAACAAAAACAAAAGTCACCACTTGAATGTGAATTGGGTAGTTTAACTTAATAATATAATACTTTTACAGCTAATCTAATTCTATCTTTCTTTTTAGACGAAGTCTACAATCATTAATCACTTTTAACTCAGATTCTAATTTAAATGTTTGAAAAACGGCTTTTGTAACTAAAATAAAAAATACATGAAAAAGTTCTCACTAACAGCTATGAAATATCAGATACAATAATGGACTCAAAAAATAAGCAGCAGATTTAAAAAGAAAAGCAAAGCTTTTTGTACTAATCTTTGGGTTTCAAAAACATACTAATTCAAAACTTATTCACTAATGGTGTTTAAAAACGTTTAACTGTGTCTAACACAATGTTCAAATGGCAAATTTAGCAAATTTAACGGAATAACTACTATGAAAAGCCAAAAATCCTAAAGCAGTAGCTTTGATTCAGAGCCAGAGCAGCGAAGGAGGGGGCCGTTTCCCTGACAACGGCAGCAGATAGAGATGTGCACACACAGGCAAAAAGATACAGAAGAATAACTTTCAAGATTACTTTGTTAAGCGAATATAACTTATGTTGTTCTTTAAACTTTTGTCATCCAAGTCTAGAAATGACCACTTTCCACACTAGTAACAAAAGGCACTCTTACTTTAACGTACGCTTCTATTTTATCGAGGTAGCAAACTAATTTAAACTCAAAATCTCTTTCTAAAAAACAAAAAACAACTGTTGGATACAACCCTCTCATAGTTTAACTGTAGATAAAACTCTGCAAAAAATGTAAATAACTCACGAAAGCTCTCATAGCTCAACTTTAGATAAAACTCTGCATTCTCCGGTGAACTCTGTTCACTCCAAAAACAAAAACTCCCTTTTTCTGTATGTAATTTAAACCGTGATCACTGAAATATAACAGATGTTATTGCTATCAGCCTGAAATTCGTCAATTTCAAAGCTTTTGTAACAAAGGCCTCCTTAACACGTTTCCCTTTTTATTGCTTTTATGTTTACACCATGGTTTCACTTTTGGATCCAACACTTATGGCCTTTACACTTTATGGATCCTATTCACTTTAATGGCCAACACTTTTCACTTTATGGATCCTATTCACTTTAATGGCCAACACTTTTCACTTTATGGATCCTATTCACTTTAATGGCCAACACTTTTCACTTTATGGATCCTATTCACTTATGGCCTTTTCACTTTATGGATCCTCACTTATTTGAACACAATTTAGAGAGTTCGACAGACCTCAAAAACAGACCAAAATTTAGCTAGTATCCAATTATGCAGACTTTACATATAAAAAGGTGTCTGCTTACCTTATTCTTGTCAAACAGGATCCAAGGACTGTCCGAGAGGTCTGCCAACTCTTTTCCGCGTCGGAATATTCAATTTAAAAAAACAAAAGTGACAGAAGCGACAAGAAGCATCCAGGAACAGCTCTTCCAGCCTGCTGGAATCTCCGCTCCCAGACACAGCATGCCGATCTCTCACGCCGAGGAAAAGAAACAGAGCAAACTCCCTCAAAACAATCCAGAGAATGGCACAAACCGAGCCGCGCATTCTCCACCAAATCTGTTAGGATTTAGCAGACAGAGACGGATCGTGGTGTGCCAAACTCTGGAAGTTTATTTAAGTTTCTCTCAAGTTCCAATGGTTTCCTCCGTTTCTTTCTCTCAGACAGAATAAAGGCAGTACACAGTTTATATAGTCATTGTCACGTCACACATCGAAAGACATACGTGTCACAAAGAGACAGTCACATCATAGTCATAACATGGAGTCCTTGTAGAGTCCTTGTACAGTCCTGCACGTAGGCCATATTGCTATCTAATACTAATAAGCATATTAGCGCTAAAGCTAATGCTAAAATTTTTCTTTCAAAAAGCAGTAAGGTCTTCCTATCTGGAGGTTAGTATAATTACGGCTCAGTATAATTCAAACTGTATAGCTACACATACTCACCATGCAGCCTCCTTTTCTCCGTATGGTGGTTTAAGCCTCATGCCATGATAGCAAGATGGACACTTCTTTGAACTTGCAAGCAGCCCAAGTTTCATTAACCATCGGGTTATTTTTCTCAAAAAGTTAATATTAGGCATCTTGAATAAAGGTACGCTGATCAGACCAGACCACCAGACGCAGTTTTTTCATCAAAAGCGGAAGCATTTGCGGAAGCCCCTCCCGCCTTTCTCCTCTCTCTCTCTGGCGCTTCCGCTCCTCCAAGTCCGCTGATAGACATGTTTACTGTATCAGCCAATCACTGTCCAGCTTATAGTAAGAACAAAATATACAAAAAAGTTGCGGTACGATTAAAATATATATTTTTTTACCTTAAACATATATCTTTTATCGCCATTTAAGGCCTATTTCACGGTTGACGTCACAATGCGGAAGTAAATCAAATGTCGGGTATGACGACTTCCGGTGCGCTGTTTCTGTAAAGGACGACAAGAATGGATTCGGCCAGCGCGACCAATTTCTCCAAATCCTTGCGGAATTTGCCGAAAATGACGATGGAGGACGTGATACGGATAGCATCTGAGTTGTCACTAACAACATGTTCAAAATTGGAAAAGGGCTACAAGTTGTTTGTGGAAAAATATGTGTTCAACTATGAAGGTAAGTCACCATTTGTCTGACGGATTTGTGCTCAGTGCTGTATTAAATGGTGTTTTAATTAGCCTTAGTTCATTTACACTTGGAATGAGCTAAATAAGAGTAAACAAATAGTTGAACTAACTAACAGGCCCTTCTTGTAATTGTTTTTTACCAACAAGCATTAAGGTAACGGAGAAGCATGATGGATGATGGAGCCATGATTTACGGGTGGATTTACATACTATGTAATGGAGCAGTGAAAATACGCTTTTGCTGGGTCTACCAAAACTGTTTGATAATGCTATACTGTCAGCATGAGCATCATAAAAAATATGTAGTTAGATTTGAAATATATAGTATGTATATTGTTGATCACTTTCATGTTTCAAATTTTGTTAAAAGTTTCACTTATCATTCAAATATTTATGAAATATATAAAGAAATGATTATTTTTTAATATTTTGTGTTTTATTGTGTATTATATGTATATGTAGTGTCAGGAATAGTAGGAGGAGAAGTGGAAGTTCGGGCAAGATGCTACAGGTCTATGAGGAAGCGTGAGGTGCCACATAACCTACAGGTTTACTTTGAAACACTGCTATTTACTGCCGTTGCAGTTTGTTCTCATCCAGTTGATAAAGTTGCTGCTGTTGCAGCGAGTTCTGTTTTCTCCTCTGCGTTATTGTCTGTTGTCATTCTACATGTTCTGTGTGCGCCTGCTAATGGCAACATTGTGACTGATGTGTTTTTTAATTACAGATAAACCTGAAATCTGGAGAGGTTCCTGTGAAGGTGATGTCCACCAGTTGTTCCTGTGCTTCAGAAAAGATTTTGTGCAACCATCTGGTTGCACTTCTCTATCAAAGTGCACATTTCAGCACCCTGAATTTGAGTGTGGTTCCGGCAATCTATTAAAGTCAAATACAGTAAACTAAAAGTTCTGTTGCACGAGTATATTTACATTTCATTTTATTCATGCTTTTTATTTTAAAGAAAATCTTAACATACAAAACAAGACGCATTGAAAGTATGAATCAACAGACAATACAGATGGTGACATGCAGATCAGATTCAAAGAGATTCAAGATACATAGAGAACATGGATTACCTAAAACAATTAACTTTTTAAATCCTTCCACTTACTATTGCGATGCTGATCAACTGAAGTTTAAATCTAACTACAGTGGTGTAAAATACATGTTATTCTTGATTGCCAAAGTTAGACAAAACAAAAAACATTTAAAATTATATAAGTATAGAACATTACACTGGCTTGTCATGTTTAATACCCAAAGGTCCTTGGTAGTGTGTTAGCAAGCAACAAACTGCCCAAAGCTGGTTGATGGTGCCAGTCAAGGAGAGGGGCACAACGCTATCCCAGATATGGTACTCCTTCACTCTGCGTATTGCCCTCTCCACGAGCACTCTGAGACGAGCAATTGCTTGGGTTTTATGGGCATCAGCAGCAGAGAGTTGGGATGTGGTTTTGAAAGGTGGAATGATTAAGTGTGCACCAATTTGTGACAACTCTTCCTCAATGACAAAACCCTTGTCAGCCATGACTCCATCTCCATAGGAGAGCAGTTGCAATAGACCACATCTCATAGTAATTTCTTTGTCCGAAATTGAGCCAGTGTACAGCTTTGACACAAATGTAACAACTCCACAGGGAGCGATACCAATCAAGCCCTTGAAAGTGTTGTTGTTTTTATAGGTCGAAAATGTTTCCGATTGTAAGGTAAGGGAGGCTGGTATCTCACAACGCACCTCAGTACAGTCCACAATCACACGCACATTGGGGCAGTACTGGCGAAATGTGTCTGGCATTGTAGCTTGTACCTGTGCTCTCGTCATCCAAACTGGCTCTGCCCCAAGAACTTGAAACAGGTAGTTTGCCCAAGTGATGACAACCGACTCACTGTCGAGACACTGATGTCAAAGATAGAAGCCAGTACTTTTTCTTTCAGTCCTGCAGCAATGCGACAAAGGAAAAGAAAACATTCATCTATCAGAGGGAGTTTGCGTTGAAGGGCAGGACCCTGTGCCATGCTCTGTGCCCTTGTCCAGTAGACCATCCTAGAAGCAGATGGCTGCAGAGTTTCCCAAAACGCTATGAAGACCTCCTCCGATGGGAATCGGGTGTAGAAACGGAAATCGCTGTCAGAGGCACAAAAGCGGTGGCACTTAGGTTGCTTTAGTTGTAAGGTCATCTCTGTCAGTTGTAATTGTAGTTGCTGCAGTTGCGACTCCAGCCTCTGATTTTCTTCTGCCAGTGCATCAATGAATCCTTAGAAAAAACAAGTACAATCAGATTTAAGTGAGGAGAAAAACATAAAATATATAAAACTTTATTTATATAGCTCTTTTCATACAAATTGTGACACACAGGCACACACACAGCTAATGAAAAAAGTAATGTTTAGCTATGGCAATAACTATTAAGATGAAGAGATCCTTTATTCGTCCCACAGTGGAGAAATTTCAGTGTTGAATCACAAGTTATAGAACAGTAGGAAAGAGGAGCACACAGCACAGGATTAGTGAACAATAGCTTTACTAATTAAAATAAAGCGAAATCTCTAACTCCAGCATCAAATAACAAGTATAAAATCTCTAATAAAAAGAAGGGTAAAAGTTTTACATTTGCCTAAATAAGAGGCAAGTATAAAGTACTGTGTATTCTAGTGCAAGCAAAGTGTAGTTATATGATAGCATCTGTACATTAGCAGCTGTATGTTTACATCAGAATCATTTTTATTGCCACGTAAGAAACAGGAAGTTACAGACTTGGAGATTGCTTTGGCTCAGTGCAACAGTCAGAAAGAGAGGTAAAGACTAGAGAAGGCATAATAAAAAATAAAAAGCACTTCTAAGGAATATATTTATAAGAGATTACATACATAAACGTAACCTAAAATGTACCTACCGGGCGTGGGGCGAGTAGCATAGTCGTGGTCAGCACAGGCAGCTCCCTCGCTCTCAGCTGTTTCCACAGTGTCTTCCTCCTCACGGAGATCGACCCCCAGCCTTTCGCTGGCTCTCTCATACACTGACTGGCGATGAGGGGGATTAAAGTTGTTCCAAGCAAATTTGGATGGTATTACACCTTTCTTTAAACGTCGACGACCCTTGGGAGTGGTGTAAATATCGTCAGCCTGAAAATGAAGGCTACACACGTAGCTACTGCCACGAAGCACTGAAAAGGTAGCACCCAAATCTCTACGAATCGCTCTCACCCAGGCCGATCGAGTCACTTTCTCGGTTGGAAATTCGTGAAAACTAAGATACGGCTGATGCTGTTTGTTAGCTTTACAAAAAGGTACACTACACCAACATTTCCAGCTAGATTGAGCCATTATTTTGGAGATTGAACAGGATCCGCTAGCAACCGGAAGTCGTCATACCCGACATTTCATTTACTTCCGCATTGTGACGTCAACCGTGAAATAGGCCTATTGTGTTTTCATACTTCTTAATTTGTACTGCCAATCAGTTTAGGACCCGCCTTCTTGAGCGGGATTCTGACCCGCACTAACCTCGCTAGTTCGCTCTGTTGTAATAACCTAGCGTGGGCTCAACTGGATTGTTACAAACAAAGCGTTACAACTTATAAAGAAAAAGTCAAAGATGGTAAGTTAATCTTTGGTTCCATTTCACAGCACACGTGGTAGTTTGTATTATATCGAGCAAAAATTATATACACAAAGTTTGCACGTTTTTACGGAATGGAAAATTTGCCGTGGTCACACTGTTAGCTAACTTCAATGATAAGTTACTGTGGTCACACTGTTAGCTGACTCCGATGATAAGTTACTCTGGTCACACTTAGCTAACTTCAATGATTGTGCTTTTAAACAACACCCCCACATAATAAAAGTAAGCTGTGACAGCAGATTTCTTGTGTGATTTTTTTAAGCAAACACAAATGATCTAAAGGAAATTAATTACCACAATTACATTTACTCAAGTAACGTTATTTACTGTTCACAGCCTAAAGCTCAAAATAAGCGAAAGAGTGTTCCAATGGAGGCCCCAGCGTCACCAGAGTCACCCCTGAACCTGACACAGTGTGTGCCAGAAGGTTAGTAGTAGTATTTTTTAAAATATTTTTAGGTGACTTAATTATGTTTTATTATTTATTTTACAGATCAAGAAAGCGCTCCAAGTTGCAGCAGCCAGAGTGGAAGTGTGGAATCAGGTTTTGTTTGTTTAATTGTAATAATGACAACACTAGACATGGTTGTGAAAGTCATGGCATATGCTCATAACACAGACTTCCATCTAGTAGGCTTAAAAAAGTGCACCAATGTAACACATTGTAGCACACACAAAATCTAATTATTTTTAGTATATTAAAATATTTAGTAATATTGAATTTTTATCTGTTTGTGTGTGTTTCAGTGTCGAAAATTACATTCCTGCAAGCCAAAATTGAGTGGCAAGAGAAAATGATTTTAGACCTGGAGGAAGAGCGGAAGTTTCTTCGGGAACAATTAATGAGAGATAATAAGACCACATGTAAGTAATATACAGCATTTTATCAAAACGTTCATTGTCTTTTGCATGAATACATCTTATTAATTCAATGTTTTGCTTGCAGCTCAACGTAAACATACAAAAACAAAACAGGATTACTATTCAGACACCGAAATACCATCATCACCAAACATGAGCGAAAGCGACAGCGATGGTACTGTATTGAAGAAGAAAAAAATCAGACAGTCTTATGATTCTTCAGATGAAGTAGCAGTGCTGGGGCGAACTCACATGAGAGGTACAGTCTGTTATGCAATGTTTATTTTAACAGTATGACACAACACAGTTTTCAAATATTTTCACAACATGATATGTCTAGTCCACTAGATTTAGGTGTTTAGTTCTACCCCAAATTTCATGGGAGCAACTGGTTTTTAAAGATAAATAGGCTGTTATTCTAAGGCTGCGGTCACATGCGCAGCCTAAAGCCTGGTTAAAGTGTGCCAGGGCTCGCTTCGCGATTAGATTTGGGCTTTAGGTGCAATGTGACCGCACCATGTGTCTCAGCACAATTCAAAACTACAATCAAAACTGCGGCCAGGGCACGCTTCTGCAGCGCGGATGAGGGGGTCAGTGTCACGGGTGGTGGTCCCCTTAATCCATTCTAGGTCAGGGGGGTGGCAGTCAGAGCTGCACCTACACAGAGCACCAGCCCCTCGCTGATCCTCCTGCAGGTGCCGTGTTTATTAAAAAGACAACACTTTTTTTTTTAAATGAACCAAAAAATGAACCGAACCGTGGCCTCTGAACCGAGGTACGAACCGAACCGTGATTTTTTCAAACCGCTGCACCCCTAGTCCTGACCCTCGCTCTCAGTGTGGTGCTATTGCAACAACACTTCAGACATTCAAGAATCAGTCTTTATTTAATCGCCAGAACACACACTCGCACACTCTGGTCGCTCGTAGCCACTTTTCTGTTTTTCATTCATTCATTCTCAGCTCTTTACGCTCGTTACTATAAAGGCGCGCTCCTGTGTCCGCGGCACGCCCACAAACAGACAACACACACGTGTCCCACTACTGAATTCTGGGGAATGACATATCTATCTCACACTTCACATTGCTCGGATGCAAACAACGCGTTGCATGCCCGAGCCTGTTAGCTACAGTAGCAGAATGTAAACAGGAAAAAAGCGGAAACTCAACTCTGACAACGTGGTAGTCACTGGAGTTTTTATTAGCGCCACCAGCTGGACCGGGCGTTGTACTACTCTGGCATGGTTCAGACAGCATGCCGTTTTCACACCCCTGTGGCGGGAGACTAATTAATGTAATGTTGTTTGATTTTATTTGTTTCTTTTTTTTCAGTCAAGACACCTGATGAAGCCATCCAAAGATATAAGCAAGTTCTAAAAACATTCCAACGGGTTAGAACAATGACTGAAGCTTTCAGGGCAAACAATGTGGACCGTGGCACAATAAAACTCACGGCTCCCATTGCAGAACTCAGCATTGTGGATCCTGTCACCTACAAGGCCCTAGCATTTGACCCATCCACTGAAACCCTAATCTCTTTTGCTAATAGGTGTGCTAGCAATGTCACAAAGAGAAAAAGGCAATCATTCAAAACATGAAATCCAAAGGCAAACTTTTGCCACTAACGGTCAAATATTAAAATGGTTAGCGTTTTCTTATATATTAACCCTTTGCTGTTTTGTCGCACTTGTCAGACATGTTTTTATGTTGTTACCTTTATTTTTTAGCATTGGGTTACTGTTGCTTTTCTGGCAAATGTTTTTCTTTGCATTTCAAGCATCAAGCTCACATATTGTACAAGTTGAGTTGTTAACAAATAAATGTTGAAAATGATTTATTGAAGTTGATTGTTTTATGTAAGATGGTAAAAACGTTTGAGTGACAATTTAAAAAGCAAAAACAATGTAATTTTTCCTTTATTAGTCATGAAGAGAAGACCACTTTAGAATACAGACCTATTTGGGTTTAATTAGTTATTAACTAATAGTTTGTTAGTTATGATCACAACATCACTTTAGAATGGGGAACATATTCTCAGCTATAACTAATTAATTAAGAGCTAATTGACAAAAATGAGAATGTTATTTGTGTTTTATTTCTAAAGATCTGTCCATGTTCATCAAGAGGTAATAATGGCTAACAACAGTTTGTGTATTATTAACACTTAATAAGACCCATAATCCCAGATGCATATTCACACTATAACAACTATGTAATTGCTGGCTAATGAGCAGTAATAAAGAACTAATAAATGGGAAAGCGCCAGTTAATAGTGAGTTAGATGTTGAATAAGGCCATGTAGAATAAGGACTAATAAGTGATTAATAAATACCAATAATGAGCTAATTAACCATACATTAATACACTAATTAGCACTTAATTAGCTGTTAGTTAGTGGGTGCTAAAATAAAGTGTTACCGAAAACACACTTTATCCAGCATTCAAAAAGAAAAGAAGTGAGGAATCTGAAACAGCAAACACAAATATAAACATACATGAACAACATGATTGGGACGTGTCATAAACAACACGACTGTTGGCTCTTGGAGGAAACAAGGAAGTAGAGGAAAGGCCTGTGGAAGGAAGTGAACACTGTCCTCAATAAAGCATCAGAAGACAGACTCTGCCTCAATACTGTGGAAGTCATGGAGCAGAAATAACACACATGAAAGAACTAAACTACTGCTTTATCCATGTGGGGCCAGAGCTGCATCAACCATTCAAAACAACAACAACTCTCACAGGTTCTGAGTCCAACACTGAAAAAGAAGTCCTAGACATTGTTCAAAGCATGAAAACAAAAAGGTCACAAGATCGAGACGATGAGTTTGACGTCTGCACGACCAAAGAAGTCATCAGTGACATTTCCCGGCCCTTAACTCATATATTTAAGCTAACGTTCTCTACTGGATCATTCCCATGTCTAATGACAACTGCAGAAGTCAGACTCATTCACAAACAAGGAGACAAACTGCTCTAACTAGAGCCCAACTCTATCTTATCTCTATGTTCCAAAATACTGGAAACGCTCTTTGTAAATAGAATGGAGTCATTTATTGAAAAACACAACATCCTAACAATCAATATGGATTTAGAAAGGACAAATCAACTGAACTTGCATTATTGTCTGGACTAGTTTTCCTCCTTTGATCTTCCTTCATGGTCCCAAACAGACGACATATTTGTATTCATCAGTTCATTTCTTTGAATGAGGGCAGTACATATGAATGTGTCAGAAACAGCTTCAACATCAAGATGCTGGAATTAGCACAAAAGCTAAAATGCATCCTTTGTCCTAAAGCGGCAGAAGAAACACATGTTTAATATATATGCTCTGTATGTTCATGGGGAGGCTGCACCTTTTTACTTCTTTCTCCATTTAGAGCCGACCACTTGGAAACACAAATACATTTGTACAAACATATTGAAATTGTAAATATGCTTCAATAGTTTTTATCTGCAGTTTAGTTCAGAATAATAATATCCCACTCTGTCTCCTTCTTCACATGTCAGTTTGAATCTTAGACTTGATGCAGCTTTAAAGGAACCATAAGATTTTCCTTTCAGACAAAAACATGATGTATCCGAGTCTCCAGACACAAAGTAAAGATGTTCAAATCCACAATAAGTGTTTGGTCTGTAAATGTGCGCGCCGGGGAGGAGGAGGCTGAGCCACAGGAGCCCACTGCTGCAGCCGCGCAGACTTCGGTAATAAAGGGGTTCGTCATTGGCGCGTTCTGAAAGAGGTGGTACCATCGGTATGTGTATGTGGGAGGGGGAAAGGAGGGGAGGGGAGGGGAGGTGAGGAGGGAGATTACAGAAGGAGGAGGGAGGAGGAGGTCAGGAGATCAGGTGGGATATAAGGGGAAGAGGAGAGGTGAGGAGGGAGATAAGGAGAGGAGGTGGAGGGAGGAGTAGAGGTGGGGAGGTCAGGAGGTGAGGTGGAAAAGAAGGAAAAAAAAGTTTCCGGACTCCACTTAATGTCTGTGTAACAACAAAAACATGTATTTAATGTTATTCCACGTTCACAGCGCGGACTAACTCTGATGTACGCACTTTCCTTTTTACGTAAGGTCTTTTTACGTATTGTTCTTTACAAATGGCACTCACATGGTCAGAGCTCTGGCGCCCAAAGGTTTCATTTACATTAACATGTGTTTGTGGTTTTCCATCGTATTCTTATCAACATTAAACATGGCACAATATGTTTAATTAACACCAAATTAAACACATTTATACTACTGCGTCATTTACGTCAAATTCAGACCAACTTTACACAATGTGGAGTTTTAAACCACACCGCAGCGCAGTTGTCACGTGGGAACTCTCATGATGGAGGAAAATAAAATCCTTGTCCCGATCCTGAAGTTTGCCATGAGAGGGAACCCGCGCTCCACTTTTGGCACAACGTAATTAGCGCGCGCACCGACGCTTCAATCATCAAGCGGCGCGCACGTTCTGTCACTCGTGCGTGCGCGGGAGAGGGGGGGGGGAGAGGGGGTGAGGAGGGGAGGAGGCAAGGAAGAGGCTGGGGGGAGGAGGGAGAGGGGGGAAGGAAAAGGGGAAGAGGAGAGGGAGGGGGGGAGGAGAGGGGGGGAGGGAGAGGAAAGAAGAGGGGGAGAGGAGGGGAGAACCCAGATTTCAGCACCACGGCTTGTGTGGACAGCGCCAGGACAAGTGATGACAGTGAAGTGCAGGGAATAAGGGACCGAGGCGTGAGAGAGGGGGAGAAAACAGAGGGGAGGAGAGGGGAGGGGGTGAATGCAGAGGGGCACAAGAGAGAGAAGGGGAGAGGAGGGGGCTCCCTTAGACTTTCAATATTTGCCCTGGAGCCCAGTGTGTTAAAATGCAGGCTGCGAGTGATAGGAATGTGGAGGAAAGAGAGAAACAGAGATGGATCAGGACGAGAGAGTAGAGAGAGAGAGTAGAGAGAGTAGAGAGAGTAGAGAGAGTAGAGTAGAGAGAGTAGAGAGTGTAGAGAGTGTAGAGAGAGTAGAGTTAGTAGAGAGTAGAGAGTAGAGAGTGTAGAGAGAGTATAGAGTAGAGTAGAGTAGAGAGAGTAGAGAGTGTAGAGAGTGTAGAGAGAGTAGAGTGTAGAGAGAGTGGAGAGAGAGAGAGAGAGAGTAGAGTGTAGAGAGAGTAGAGAGAGTAGAGAGTGTAGAGAGAGTAGAGTGTAGAGAGAGTAGAGAGAGTAGAGAGAGTAGAGAGTAGAGAGTGTAGAGAGTAGAGAGAGTAGAGAGTGTAGAGAGAGTAGAGAGAGTGGAGAGTGTAGAGAGAGTATAGAGAGAGTAGAGTAGAGAGAGTAGAGAGAGTGTAGAGAGAGTGGAGAGAGTAGAGAGAGTAGAGAGAGTAGAGAGAGTAGAGAGTGTAGAGAGAGTAGAGAGAGTGGAGAGTGTAGAGAGAGTATAGAGAGAGTAGAGTAGAGAGTGTAGAGAGAGTAGAGAGAGTAGAGAGAGTAGAGAGTAGAGAGTGTAGAGAGAGTAGAGTGTAAAGAGAGTAGAGTGTAAAGAGAGTAGAGTGTAAAGAGAGTAGAGAGTAGAGAGAGTAGAGAGTGTAGAGAGAGTAGAGAGTGTAGAGAGTGTAGAGAGAGTAGAGAGAGTAGAGAGAGTAGAGAGAGTAGAGAGAGTAGAGAGAGTAGAGAGTGTAGAGAGAGTAGAGAGAGTAGAGAGAGTAGAGAGTAGAGAGTGTAGAGAGAGTAGAGAGTGTAGAGAGTGTAGAGAGAGTAAAGAGAGTAGAGAGAGTAGAGAGAGTAGAGAGTGTAGAGTGTAGAGAGAGAGTGTAAAGAGAGTAGAGTGTAAAGAGAGTAGAGTGTAGAGAGAGTAGAGTGTACAGAGAGTAGAGAGAGTAGAGATAGTAGAGAGAGTAGAGATAGTAGAGAGAGTAGAGAGAGTAGAGTGTAGAGAGAGTAGAGAGAGTAGAGAGTGTAGAGAGAGTAGAGTGTAGAGAGAGTAGAGTGTAGAGAGAGTAGAGAGTAGAGAGAGTAGAGTCGAGAGAGAGTAGAGAGAGTAGAGTGTAGAGAGAGTAGAGAGTGTAGAGAGAGTAGAGTGTAGAGAGAGTAGAGAGAGTAGAGTGTAGAGAGAGTAGAGAGAGTAGAGAGTGTAGAGATAGTAGAGAGAGTAGAGAGAGTAGAGAGAGTAGAGTGTAGAGAGAGTAGAGAGAGTAGAGTGTAGAGAGAGTAGAGTGTAGAGAGAGTAGAGAGAGTAGAGTGTAGAGAGAGTAGAGAGAGTAGAGAGAGTAGACAGAGTAGAGAGAGTAGAGAGTGTAGAGATAGTAGAGAGTAGAGAGAGTAGAGAGTAGAGTGTAGAGAGAGTAGAGAGTGTAGAGAGAGTAGAGAGTAGAGAGAGTAGAGTGTAGAGAGAGTAGAGAGAGTAGAGAGTGTAGAGAGAGTAGAGTGTAGAGAGAGTAGAGAGTAGAGAGAGTAGAGAGAGTAGAGAGTGTAGAGAGTGTAGAGAGAGTAGAGAGAGTAGAGAGAGTAGAGAGAGTAGAGAGAGTAGAGAGAGTAGAGAGAGTAGAGAGTGTAGAGAGAGTAGAGAGTGTAGAGAGAGTAGAGTGTAGAGAGAGTAGAGAGAGTAGAGTGTAGAGAGAGTAGAGAGTGTAGAGAGAGTAGAGTGTAGAGAGAGTAGAGAGAGTAGAGTGTAGAGAGAGTAGAGATTGTAGAGAGAGTAGAGAGAGTGGAGAGTGTAGAGAGAGTAGAGAGAGTAAAGAGAGTAGAGAGTGTAGAGAGAGTAGAGAGAGTAGAGTGTAAAGAGAATAGAGAGAGTAAAGAGAGTAGAGAGTGTAGAGAGTAGAGAGTAGAGAGAGTAGAGAGTAGAGAGAGTAGAGAGTAGAGAGTAGAGAGTGTAGAGAGAGTAGAGAGAGTTGAGAGAGTAGAGTGTAAAGAGAGTAGAGTGTAGAGAGTAGAGAGAGTAGAGAGAGTAGTAAGTAAGTAAGTAGTAATCTTTATTTATATACCGCCTTTTCACTGCACATCGGAGTCTCAAAGCGGTTTACAATTGTGATTTTTTTTTTGGGAGCAGGGGTGCCAGTACAGGAGGTACATGCCAGACCTATTGTACATATTTTTAGTGGTAGGGGAAACCGGAGCACCCGGAGGAAACCTACGCAGACACGGGGAGAACATGCAAACTCCACTCAGAAGGGCCCTGGTCCAACCGGGATTCGAACCCAGGACCTTCTTGCTGAGAGGCGAGAGTGCTATCCACTCAGCCACCGTGCCGCCCTACAGAGTACACGCTCTACAGAGTAGAGAGTGTAGAGAGAGTAGAGAGAGTAGAGTGTAAAGAGAGTAGAGTGTAAAGAGAGTAGAGAGAGTAGAGTGTAGAGAGAGTAGAGAGAGTAGAGTGTAAAGAGCGTAGAGAGAGTAGAGTGTAGAGAGAGTAGAGAGAGTAGAGTGTAGAGAGAGTAGAGAAAGTAGAGAGTGTAGAGAGAGTAGAGAGAGAAGAGTGTAGAGAGAGTAGAGAGAGTAGAGTGTAGAGAGAGTAGAGAGTGTAGAGAGAGTAGAGAGAGTAGAGTGTAGAGAGAGTAGAGAGAGTAGAGTGTAGAGAGAGTAGAGAGAGTAGAGTGTAGAGAGAGTAGAGAGAGTAGAGTGTAGAGAGAGTAGAGAGTGTAGAGAGAGTAGAGAGTAGAGAGAGTAGAGTGTAGAGAGTGTAGAGAGAGTAGAGAGAGTAGAGAGAGTAGAGAGAGTAGAGAGAGTAGAGAGTGTAGAGAGAGTAGAGAGTGTAGAGAGAGTAGAGTGTAGAGAGAGTAGAGAGAGTAGAGAGTGTAGAGAGAGTAGAGAGTGTAGAGAGAGTAGAGTGTAGAGAGAGTAGAGAGAGTAGAGAGAGTAGAGTGTAGAGAGAGTAGAGATTGTAGAGAGAGTAGAGAGAGTGGAGAGTGTAGAGAGAGTAGAGAGAGTAAAGAGAGTAGAGAGTGTAGAGAGAGTAGAGAGAGTAGAGTGTAAAGAGATTAGAGAGAGTAAAGAGAGTAGAGAGTGTAGAGAGTAGAGAGTAGAGAGAGTAGAGAGAGTAGAGAAAGTAGAGAGTAGAGAGAGTAGAGAGTAGAGAGAGTAGAGAGAGTTGAGAGAGTAGAGTGTAAAGAGAGTAGAGTGTAAAGAGTAGAGAGAGTAGAGAGAGTAGTAAGTAAGTAAGTAGTAATCTTTATTTATATACCGCCTTTTCACTGCACATCGGAGTCTCAAAGCGGTTTACAATTGTGATTTTTTTTTTGGGAGCAGGGGTGCCAGTACAGGAGGTACATGCCAGACCTATTGTACATATTTTTAGTGGTAGGGGAAACCGGAGCACCCGGAGGAAACCTACGCAGACACGGGGAGAACATGCAAACTCCACTCAGAAGGGCCCTGGTCCAACCAGGATTCGAACCCAGGACCTTCTTGCTGAGAGGCGAGAGTGCTATCCACTCAGCCACCGTGCCGCCCTACAGAGTACACGCTCTACAGAGTAGAGAGTGTAGAGAGAGTAGAGAGAGTAGAGTGTAAAGAGAGTAGAGTGTAAAGAGAGTAGAGAGAGTAGAGTGTAGAGAGAGTAGAGAGAGTAGAGAGAGTAGAGTGTAAAGAGCGTAGAGAGAGTAGAGTGTAGAGAGAGTAGAGAGAGTAGAGTGTAGAGAGAGTAGAGAGAGTAGAGAGTGTAGAGAGAGTAGAGAGTGTAGAGAGAGTAGAGTGTAGAGAGAGTAGAGAGAGTAGAGAGTGTAGAGAGAGTAGAGAGTGTAGAGAGAGTAGAGTGTAGAGAGAGTAGAGAGAGTAGAGAGAGTAGAGTGTAGAGAGAGTAGAGAGTGTAGAGAGAGTAGAGAGAGTGGAGAGTGTAGAGAGAGTAGAGAGAGTAAAGAGAGTAGAGAGTGTAGAGAGAGTAGAGAGAGTAGAGTGTAAAGAGAGTAGAGAGAGTAAAGAGAGTAGAGAGTGTAGAGAGTAGAGAGAGTAGAGAGAGTAGAGAAAGTAGAGAGTAGAGAGAGTAGAGAGAGTAGAGAGTAGAGAGAGTTGAGAGAGTAGAGTGTAAAGAGAGTAGAGTGTAAAGAGAGTAGAGAGTGTAGAGAGAGTAGAGAAAGTAGAGAGTAGAGAGAGTAGAGAGAGTAGAGAGTAGAGAGAGTTGAGAGAGTAGAGTGTAAAGAGAGTAGAGAGTAGAGAGAGTAGAGAGAGTAGAGAAAGTAGAGAGTAGAGAGAGTAGAGAGTAGAGAGTAGAGAGAGTTGAGAGAGTAGAGTGTAAAGAGAGTAGAGTGTAAAGAGAGTAGAGAGTAGAGAGAGTAGAGAGAGTAGTAAGTAAGTAAGTAGTAATCTTTATTTATATACCGCCTTTTCACTGCACATCGGAGTCTCAAAGCGGTTTACAATTGTGATTTTTTTTTTGGGAGCAGGGGTGCCAGTACAGGAGGTACATGCCAGACCTATTGTACATATTTTTAGTGGTAGGGGAAACCGGAGCACCCGGAGGAAACCTACGCAGACACGGGGAGAACATGCAAACTCCACTCAGAAGGGCCCTGGTCCAACCGGGATTCGAACCCAGGACCTTCTTGCTGAGAGGCGAGAGTGCTATCCACTCAGCCACCGTGCCGCCCTACAGAGTACACGCTCTACAGAGTAGAGAGTGTAGAGAGAGTAGAGAGAGTAGAGAGAGTAGAGTGTAAAGAGAGTAGAGTGTAAAGAGAGTAGAGAGAGTAGAGTGTAGAGAGAGTAGAGAGAGTAGAGTGTAAAGAGCGTAGAGAGAGTAGAGTGTAGAGAGAGTAGAGAGAGTAGAGTGTAGAGAGAGTAGAGAAAGTAGAGAGTGTAGAGAGAGTAGAGAGAGAAGAGTGTAGAGAGAGTAGAGAGAGTAGAGTGTAGAGAGAGTAGAGAGTGTAGAGAGAGTAGAGAGAGTAGAGTGTAGAGAGAGTAGAGTGTAGAGAGAGTAGAGAGAGTAGAGTGTAGAGAGAGTAGAGAGAGTAGAGTGTAGAGAGAGTAGAGAGTGTAGAGAGAGTAGAGAGTAGAGAGAGTAGAGTGTAGAGAGAGTAGAGAGAGTAGAGAGTAGAGAGAGTAGAGTGTAGAGAGAGTAGAGAGAGTAGAGAGTGTAGAGATAGTAGAGAGTAGAGAGAGTAGAGTGTAGAGAGAGTAGAGAGAGTAGAGAGAGTAGAGAGAGTAGAGAGTGTAGAGAGAGTAGAGTGTAGAGAGAGTAGAGTGTAGAGAGAGTAGAGTGTAGAGAGAGTAGAGAGTGTAGAGAGTGTAGAGAGAGTAGAGAGAGTAGAGAGAGTAGAGAGAGTAGAGAGTGTAGAGAGAGTAGAGAGAGTAGAGTGTAGAGAGTGTAGAGAGAGTAGAGAGTGTAGAGAGAGTAGAGAGAGTAGAGAGAGTAGAGAGTGTAGAGAGAGTAGAGAGTGTAGAGAGTGTAGAGAGAGTAGAGAGTGTAGAGAGAGTAGAGAGAGTAGAGAGAGTAGAGAGTGTAGAGAGAGTAGAGAGTGTAGAGAGAGTAGAGAGAGTAGAGAGAGTAGAGAGTGTAGAGAGTGTAGAGAGAGTAGAGAGAGTAGAGAGAGTATAGAGTGTAGAGAGTGTAGAGAGAGTAGAGAGAGTAGAGAGAGTAGAGAGTGTAGAGAGAGTAGAGAGTGTAGAGAGTGTAGAGAGAGTAGAGAGAGTAGAGAGAGTAGAGTGTAGAGAGAGTAGAGAGAGTAGAGAGAGTAGAGAGTGTAGAGAGAGTAGAGTGTAGAGAGTGTAGAGAGAGTAGAGAGAGTAGAGAGTGTAGAGAGAGTAGAGTGTAGAGAGTGTAGAGAGAGTAGAGTAGAGAGAGTAGAGAGAGTAGAGAGTGTAGAGAGTGTAGAGAGTGTAGAGAGTAGAGAGAGTAGAGTGTAGAGAGAGTAGAGAGAGTAGAGAGAGTAGAGTGTAGAGAGAGTAGAGAGTGTAGAGAGAGCAGAGAGAGTAGAGAGAGTAGAGAGAGTAGAGAGAGTAGAGTGTAGAGAGAGTAGAGTGTAGAGAGAGTAGAGAGAGTAGAGAGAGTAGAGAGAGTAGAGTGTAGAGAGAGTAGAGTGTAGAGAGAGTAGAGAGTGTAGAGAGAGTAGAGAGAGTAGAGAGTGTAGAGAGAGTAGAGAGAGTAGAGAGAGTAGAGTGTAGAGAGAGTAGAGAGAGTAGAGAGAGTAGAGAGAGTAGAGAGTGTAGAGAGAGTAGAGTGTAGAGAGAGTAGAGAGAGTAGAGAGAGTAGAGAGTGTAGAGAGTGTAGAGAGAGTAGAGAGAGTGTAGAGAGAGTAGAGAGAGTAGAGAGTGTAGAGAGAGTAGAGAGAGTAGAGAGAGTAGAGAGAGTAGAGAGAGTAGAGAGAGTGTAGAGAGAGTAGAGAGGATAGAGAGAGTAGAGAGTTTAGAGAGAGTGTAGAGAGAGTAGAGAGAATAGAGAGAGTAGAGAGTAGAGAGAGTAGAGAGTAGAGAGTAGAGAGTAGAGAGAGTAGAGAGTAGAGAGAGTGTAGAGAGAGTAGAGAGAGTAGAGAGTGTAGAGAGAGTAGAGAGTGTAGAGAGAGTGTAGAGAGAGTAGAGAGAATAGAGAGAGTAGAGAGAGTAGAGAGAGTGTAGAGAGTGTAGAGAGAGTAGAGAATGTAGAGAGAGTAGAGAGTAGAGAGAGTGTAGAGAGAGTAGAGAGTGTAGAGAGAGTAGAGAGTAGAGAGAGTAGAGAGAGTAGAGAGAATAGAGAGAGTAGAGAGAGTAGAGAGTGTAGAGAGAGTAGAGAGAGTAGAGAGAGTAGAGAGAGTGTAGAGAGTAGAGAGAGTAGAGAGAGTAGAGAGTAGAGAGAGTGTAGAGAGAGTAGAGAGAGTAGAGCGAGTAGAGAGAATAGAGAGAGTAGAGAGAGTAGAGAGTGTAGAGAGAGTAGAGAGAGTAGAGAGAGTGTAGAGAGAGTAGAGAGTAGAGAGAGTAGAGAGTAGAGAGAGTGTAGAGAGAGTAGAGAGAGTAGAGAGTAGAGAGAGTAGAGAGTAGAGAGAGTGTAGAGAGAGTAGAGAGAGTAGAGAAAGTAGAGAGAGTAGAGAGAGTAGAGAGAATAGAGAGAGTAGAGAGAGTAGAGAGAGTAGAGAGAGTAGAGAGTGTAGAGAGTGTAGAGAGAGTAGAGAGAGTAGAGAGAGTAGAGAGTAGAGAGAGTAGAGAGAATAGAGAGAGTAGAGAGAGTAGAGAGAGTAGAGAGAGTAGAGAGAATAGAGAGAGTAGAGAGAGTAGAGAGAGTAGAGAGTGTAGAGAGAGTAGAGAGAGTAGAGAGTAGAGAGAGTAGAGAGAGTAGAGAGAGTAGAGAGTAGAGAGAGTAGAGAGACCAAGACAGAATTATTAATGCATGAAAAAGATTTATTTGTTTGACGCATTGACCCCGGCAGTGACACTTGCAGCGATGAGATCACTGCAGCTGTAGATGATCTCAGACCCCCCGGGGTCAAGCACTGGTGGTGGCTATAGGCATGGTGTGAATGGGACGCAGGCAGAGCAGGAGCCAGAGCAGGAGCCAGAGCAGGAGCCAGAGCAGGAGCCAGAGCAGGAGCCAGAGCAGGAGCCAGAGGAGGAGCCAGAGCAGGAGCCAGAGCCAGGGCAGGAGCCAGAGCAGGAGCCAGAGCAGGAGCCAGAGCAGGAGCCAGAGGAGGAGCCAGAGCAGGAGCTAGAGCAGGAGCCAGAGGAGGAGCCAGAGCAGGAGCCAGAGCAGGAGCTAGAGCAGGAGCCAGAGCAGGAGCCAGAGCAGGAGCCAGAGCAGGAGCCAGAGGAGGAGCCAGAGCAGGAGCCAGAGCCAGGGCAGGAGCCAGAGCAGGAGCCAGAGCAGGAGCCAGAGCAGGAGCCAGAGCAGGAGCCAGAGCAGGAGCCAGAGGAGGAGCCAGAGCAGGAGCCAGAGCAGGAGCTAGAGCAGGAGCCAGAGCAGGAGCCGGAGCAGGAGCCAGAGCAGGAGCTAGAGCAGGAGCCAGAGCAGGAGCCAGAGCAGGAGCCAGAGCAGGAGCCAGAGCAGGAGCTAGAGCAGGAGCCGGAGCAGGAGCCGGAGCAGGAGCCAGAGCAGGAGCTAGAGCAGGAGCCAGAGGAGGAGCCAGAGCAGGAGCCAGAGCAGGAGCCAGAGCAGGAGCTAGAGCAGGAGCCGGAGCAGGAGCCAGAGCAGGAGCTAGAGCAGGAGCCAGAGGAGGAGCCAGAGCAGGAGCCAGAGCAGGAGCCAGAGCAGGAGCTAGAGCAGGAGCCAGAGCAGGAGCCAGAGCAGGAGCCAGAGCAGGAGCCAGAGCAGGAGCCAGAGCAGGAGCCGGAGCAGGAGCCAGAGCAGGAGCTAGAGCAGGAGCCAGAGCAGGAGCCAGAGCAGGAGCCAGAGCAGGAGCTAGAGCAGGAGCCAGAGCAGGAGCCAGAGCAGGACCCAGAGCTGGAGCCAGAGCAGGAGCCAGAGGAGGAGCCAGAGCAGGAGCCAGAGGAGGAGCCAGAGCAGGAGCCAGAGGAGGAGCCAGAGCAGGAGCCAGAGCAGGAGCCAGAGGAGGAGCCAGAGCAGGAGCCAGAGCAGGAGCCAGAGCAGGAGCCAGAGCAGGAGCCAGAGCTGGAGCCAGAGCGGGAGCCAGAGCAGGAGCCAGAGGAGGAGCCAGAGCGGGAGCCAGAGCAGGAGCCAGAGCAGGAGCCAGAGCAGGAGCCAGAGCAGGAGCCAGAGGAGGCAGTTGGTGTTAAGAGCTTCAGGAAGTAGCTGTGTTTAAACTGCCCGCTTTGTTGTCAGTGGGTTGGCAAGAGGCTGGCAGAGCTCTGTGATTGGCTGAGGCTCGAGGCTGGCAGAGCTCTGTGATTGGCTGAGGCTGGAGGCTGGCAGAGCTCTGTGATTGGCTGAGGCTGGAGGCTGGCAGAGCTTTGTGATTGGCTGAGGCTCGAGGCTGGCAGAGCTCTGTGATTGGCTGAGGCTCGAAGCTGGGAGAGCTGTATGATTGGCTGAGGCTGGGAGAGCTCTGTGATTGGCTGGCTCTGGACCAGTGAGAGCTGTGGCCGGTCTTTCAGTATGAATTTGTGCTTCAGCTTCATTAGTGAGTGTAGAGAGTAATACAGAACAGGTGAGAGTATACGCAGGTGTAGTACTGTAGTATGGATGATAAAACACAACATGACAGATTTAATCAAAACCATAACCACCCTTTTTTTGTCAATCCTAAATCTTGCCGGTTTGGATTTGTTTTGAACCAAAAGAATTTAACACTTCCTTGTTTTATAATTGTCAATAAATGATATCTTTGACTGTAGTTGTTGCTTGTTTCCACGGTGATGGCAAAGTTTTTCCTCTTCCCAAAGTAAACTACATGTTTATGTTTTAAATCGTGACCACACACTTTACCTTCACCTTGACCTTCTGTGGACGGATTAAAGCTCGGGGACCTAACTTTTCTGTCTGCGTTTTTGTTTTGCAGGAATACTGTTGACGGGAACAAGAAGTTGTACGCGATCTACGACACCAGGTAAAGACTGCCGCTTTAGTCCACTTTAGTCCACATATAGTCACTTTAGTCCACATTGGTCCACTTTAGTCCACATATAGTCACTTTAGTCCACATTGGTCCACTTTAGTTCACATATAGTCACTTTAGTCCACATTGGTCCACTTTAGTCCACATATCGTCACTTTAGTCCACATTGGTCCGTTTTAGTCCACATATTGTCCACTTTAGTCCACATTGGTCCACTTTTGATTCAAACGTTGTCCACAATAGTCCTAATTCCAGACCACTTTAGTCCACATTAGGTCCATCTTTGTCCACATTAGTCCACATTTAGTCCACTTTAGTTCACATTGGTCCACTTTTTAGTCAACCGTAGTCCACATTAGTCCTCATTCCAGACCACTTTAGTCCACATTAGGTACATTTTTGTCCACATAGGTCACATTAGTCCACATTCCAGACCACTTTAGTCCACTAGAGTCCACATTCCAGACTCACACACAGGACTCTACAGTTTTTCATTAGTTTAATCATTCTCGCTTCTCGGTGACGTTTTAACACGGCAATAATAATAAAAACATTATGAAACTAAGAAATAGACTCTGAGACTAATATTCCACAGAAATACAGACACCACACTGCATTCTGGGAAAGTGAGTCCCAACTTGTGTCCGTTAACGCAGTGTATGAAACGTTAATTTGCCAAAACAAAAGTGCAAAAACAATTAAACACACTTCTGAAAAGCTTACACTCTTAAAGGTTTATAGGAAGATTTTCTACTTCCGGGTGGATCATCAAGACTATTGGTCCTCCCAGTTGTCAATCATTCTGGTGATACAAGCTCGACAAATAAGACCAGAAAGTTTTGTTCAAAAAGTGGGCGGTTCTTTCCTAAACGTTCAGGACGTTTTAGCTACAAGAAGAAATACAACTTTTTTGGGGGGGAAATGATTTTCTCTATACACGTCACCGCATTGCACTAATCAGTACCGACGCCGCGGTGCATTCTGGGAAACCGAGTCCACAACTATGTCTCAACAACTCGCGCAAACGGAGCACGTGTCCATTGGTGTCCACGCAGCGTATTTCTCCCGGAGCTCGGTCCTCGGTCCTCGGCACGTCTTGTCCCACATCGGCTCCCGTTGAAGAAGCCAATTAAGCCGCGGGAGGGGGTCCGGGTCTGCTCCCAACGCGCTCTGCTCCAGCCTTCAGCAGCGAGAGCCTCATCCCTCCGCGCCTCATCAATATGCGCTCCAGCCGCTTCCCCCTGTGAAAGCCCTCTCTCCTCCTCTCTCCTCACCTCCTCTCCTCTCCTCCTCTCTCCTCCTCCTCTCTCCTCCTCTCTCCTTCTCCCTCCTCCAGAGCGCGCGCCGTAAGCCCAGGGAAAGCCTCTTGTCTCCCCCCCTGTCCCCTCCGCTGCCAACGCGAGGATGTCCGCTCATATTTCCCATCTCTGACTTTTTATTTTTAAATTTTTCTTCTATTTTTTTAATTTTTAATGTTTTCTTCCTCGTTCGGTCCAATCAATGGATGACTCCGCGCGGCAGGCAGGTCTCGGGAGCGTGTCCGTCGCCCGCGGTTGCTGTTGATTGCCTCTGCACCCCTCTCTCTGCTTGTAAACAACCAGGGATCCTCACAATTAACACCCATCACACAGGCGCAGATCTGGGGATATGTTTGCGCTCTACAGGGTCCGCAGATTTCGCGTCTTCTCCTTTTTGGTTGTTGGCTCCATCATATGTTGCGCGCGAAGGTGAGTGATTTCTCTGTCGTTTTGGCTCATGTCAAGGTTATTGCCGGGAGCCCGCGGGAGTCCAGGGGATAAGTGGTCATTTTCACACACACACAGGCGTTAAAAAACATTTCTTTTCTGTCTTTTAGCGTCAACGAGCCGGGCAACATGTCTTTCGTGAAGGAGACTGTGGACAAGCTCCTACAAGGCTATGATATTCGACTCAGGCCAGATTTTGGAGGTACCAATCACACACACACACACACACACACTCAATTAACCCAGACTCCCCCCTTCTCCCCTCATTGAGAGTACGTGGTTTTGGGCTTAAATCTCCTGTTCTGCTGCCTCCCCAGGGGCGCCAGTCGCGGTTGGCATGAGCATAGACGTGGCCAGCATCGACATGGTCTCAGAAGTCAACATGGTAAGTGCCCGGACGTGGCACCAGTGTTATCAAAGCGTATTCATTATGCATGCCAGCCTCCGTGTGTGTGTGTGTGTGTGTCTGCAATGACATATCCACATATCAGCGCACACACAGAGAGACGTTGTGGGTTTCATTGCGGTTTGCTGCTGCTTGGATCTAATTCAGCGTTTCCAGTCCCATCGTGGAGCGGTGGGAGAGTTGCATTGGGCTTGGCTTCCTGTTCAGCACTAATAACGGCTCCAGCTCCAGTGCAGTTCGCCTGGTGTGAGACTGGTGTGAGACTGGTGTGAGACTGGTGTGTGAGACTGGTGTGTGACTGGTGTGAGACTGGTGTGAGACTGGTGTGAGACTGGTGTGTGAGACTGGTGTGTGACTGGTGTGAGACTGGTGTGAGACTGGTGTGAGACTGGTGTGTGAGACTGGTGTGTGAGACTGGTGTGTGAGACTGGTGTGTGAGACTGGTGTGAGACTGGTGTGAGACTGGTGTGTGAGACTGGTGTGTGAGACTGGTGTGTGAGACTGGTGTGAGACTGGTGTGAGACTGGTGTGAGACTGGTGTGTGAGACTGGTGTGTGAGACTGGTGTGTGAGACTGGTGTGAGACTGGTGTGAGACTGGTGTGAGACTGGTGTGTGAGACTGGTGTGAGACTGGTGTGAGACTGGTGTGTGAGACTGGTGTGAGACTGGTGTGAGACTGGTGTGTGAGACTGGTGTGAGACTGGTGTGAGACTGGTGTGAGACTGGTGTGAGACTGGTGTGAGACTGGTGTGAGACTGGTGTGAGACTGGTGTGTGAGACTGGTGTGAGACTGGTGTGAGACTGGTGTGTGAGACTGGTGTGAGACTGGTGTGTGAGACTGGTGTGTGAGACTGGTGTGAGACTGGTGTGAGACTGGTGTGAGACTGGTGTGAGACTGGTGTGTGAGACTGGTGTGTGAGACTGGTGTGTGAGACTGGTGTGTGAGACTGGTGTGAGACTGGTGTGAGACTGGTGTGTGAGACTGGTGTGTGAGACTGGTGTGTGAGACTGGTGTGTGAGACTGGTGTGAGACTGGTGTGAGACTGGTGTGAGACTGGTGTGTGAGACTGGTGTGTGAGACTGGTGTGTGAGACTGGTGTGTGAGACTGGTGTGAGACTGGTGTGAGACTGGTGTGAGACTGGTGTGTGAGACTGGTGTGTGAGACTGTGTGTGAGACTGGTGTGAGACTGGTGTGAGACTGGGTGTGAGACTGGTGTGAGACTGTGTGAGACTGGTGTGAGACTGGTGTGAGACTGGTGTGAGACTGGTGTGAGACTGGTGAGACTGGTGTGAGACTGGTGTGAGACTGGTGTGTGAGACTGGTGTGAGACTGGTGTGAGACTGGTGTGAGACTGGTGTGAGGGTGAGACTGGTGTGAGACTGGTGTGTGAGACTGGTGTGAGACTGGTGTGAGACTGGTGTGAGACTGGTGTGAGACTGGGTGTGAGACTGGTGTGAGACTGGTGTGAGACTGGTGTGAGACTGGTGTGAGACTGGTGTGAGACTGGTGTGAGACTGGTGTGTGTGAGACTGGTGTGGAGACTGGTGTGAGACTGGTGTGAGACTGGTGTGAGACTGGTGTGAGACTGGGTGTGAGACTGGTGTGAGACTGGTGTGAGACTGGTGTGAGACTGGTGTGAGACTGGTGTGAGACTGGTGTGAGACTGGTGTGTGAGACTGGTGTGAGACTGGTGTGAGACTGGTGTGTGAGACTGGTGTGAGACTGGTGTGAGACTGGTGTGTGAGACTGGTGTGAGACTGGTGTGAGACTGGTGTGAGACTGGTGTGAGACTGGTGTGAGACTGGTGTGAGACTGGTGTGTGAGACTGGTGTGTGAGACTGGTGTGAGACTGGTGTGAGACTGGTGTGAGACTGGTGTGAGACTGGTGTGAGACTGGTGTGTGAGACTGGTGTGTGAGACTGGTGTGTGAGACTGGTGTGAGACTGGTGTGAGACTGGTGTGAGACTGGTGTGAGACTGGTGTGAGACTGGTGTGAGACTGGTGTGAGACTGGTGTGAGACTGGTGTGAGAATAAATAGCTGCAGGTTGCTTGTTCCAAATTGTGTTAATTCCGAGGGAGTGTGGCGTGGAGCGGCGGCAAGACGACGGATTAACGCTACGATTGTGTTTCCAACAATAACAAGTGTTGGACTGTTGTCTGAAGTAAGGACTCGGCGCTTTGTGGAGACGAGAGAGTCCCTGCGGTCGCTTTGTTTATGGTGTAAAGGCATTCAGACTGTACAACGAGGACAGAGGCTACGTCTGAGTCCAGGAGATGAGAGAGAGAGGCCAGAGAGAGAGAGACCAGAGAGAGAGACCAGAGAGAGACCAGAGAGAGAGGCCAGAGAGAGACCAGAGAGAGAGACCAGAGAGAGAGACCAGAGAGAGAGACCAGAGAGAGACCAGAGAGAGAGACCAGAGAGAGACCAGAGAGAGAGGCCAGAGAGAGAGACCAGAGAGAGAGACCAGAGAGAGACCAGAGAGAGACCAGAGAGAGACCAGAGAGAGACCAGAGAGAGACCAGAGAGAGGCCAGAGAGAGGCCAGAGAGAGACCAGAGAGAGACCAGAGAGAGACCAGAGCGAGACCAGAGCGAGACCAGAGAGAGACCAGAGAGAGACCAGAGAGAGAGCCCAGAGAGAGACCAGAGAGAGGCCAAAGAGAGGGACTGGAGAGACTAGAGAGAGAGGCCAGAGAGAGACCAGAGAGAGACCAGAGAGAGAGACCAGAAAGAGACCAGAGAGAGAGACCAGAAAGAGAGCAGAGAGAGGCCAGAGAGAGACCAGAGAGAGACCAGAGATAGACCAGAGAAAGACCAGAGAGAGGTGAGAGAGAGGCCAGAGAGAGACCAGAGAGAGACCAGAGCGAGACCAGAGAGAGAGACCAGAGCGAGACCAGAGAGAGAGACCAGAGCGAGACCAGAGAGAGACCAGAGAGAGAGACCAGAGAGAGAGCAGAGAGAGGCCAGAGAGAGGGACTGGAGAGACTAGAGAGAGAGATACCAGAAAGACAAGAGAGACCAGAGAGAGAGACCAGAGAGAGAGACCAGAGAGAGAGACCAGAGAGAGAACAGAGAGAGGCCAGAGAGAGGGACTGGAGAGACTAGAGAGAGATACCAGAAAGACAAGAGAGACCAGAGAGAGAGACCAGAGAGAAGGGCTAGGGAGGGAGAGAGAGGCCAGAAGGAGAGACTACAGAGAGACTAGAGAGAGAGACCAGAGAGGGAGTCTAGAGGGAGAGAGAACAGAGAGAGAGACCAGAGAGAGACCAGAGAGAGACCAGAGAGAGGGACTGGAGAGACTAGAGAGAGAGATACCAGAAAGACAAGAGAGACCAGAGAGAGAGACCAGAGAGAGAGACCAGAGAGAGAACAGAGAGAGGCCAGAGAGAGGGACTGGAGAGACTAGAGAGAGATACCAGAAAGACAAGAGAGACTGGAGAGAGACTAGAGAGAAGGGCTAGGGAGGGAGAGAGAGGCCAGAAGGAGAGACTACAGAGAGACTAGAGAGAGAGACCAGAGAGGGAGTCTAGAGGGAGAGAGAACAGAGAGAGAGACCAGAGAGAGACCAGAGAGAGACCAGAGAGAGACCAGAGAGAGGCCAGAGAGAGAGACCAGAGAGAGAGAGAGAGAGAGAGAGAGAGAGAGAGAGAGAGAGAGAGAGAGAGAGAGAGAGAGAGAGAGAGAGAGAGAGAGAGAGAGAGAGAGAGAGAGAGAGAGAGAGAGAGAGAGCACAGAGACAGAGCACAGAGACAGGAGAATACATCACTGTGATGTCAGCCTGTTGTGATGTCACATGTCTGAGCCGGGAAGTGAGAGGTGGATATTATCAAGAGGACTGTAACATATTATGATCTAAGAAAGAAGTAACCGACACAGACCAGGAGGTTAACCACTCAGCTAGTCCAGGCATTTCACCCAGCTAAAGTCCAGGCATTTCACTCAGCTAAAGACCAGGCATTTCACTGAGCTAAAGTCCAGGTATTCCACTGAGCTAAAGTCCAGGTATTTCACTCAGCTAAAGTCCAGGCATTTCACTGAGCTAAAGTCCAGGCATTTCACTCAGCTAAAGTCCAGGCATTTCACTGAGCTAACGTCCAGGTATTCCACTGAGCTAAAGTCCAGGTATTTCACTCAGCTAAAGTCCAGGCATTTCACTGAGCTAAAGTCCAGGTATTTCACTGAGCTAAAGTCCAGGTATTTCACTGAGCTAAAGTCCAGGTATTCCACTGAGCTAAAGTCCAGGTATTCCACTGAGCTAAAGTCCAGGTATTTCACTCAGCTAAAGTCCAGGCATTTCACTCAGCTCAAGGCCAGGTATTTCACTCAGCTAAAGTCCAGGCATTTCACTGAGCTAAAGTCCAGGCATTTCACTCAGCTAAAGTCCAGGTATTCCACTAAAGTCCAGGTATTTCACTGAGCTAAAGTCCAGGTATTTCGCCCTTTCCTCCACACCTACCTGTCTTCCCTGTCATTGTGAAAAGCTGACACGGGTCGAATCAACACGCTAAGATTTCCTGCTGTCAACCTTGGCATTTCAACCCGGGTCGAAATACCAAGTCTGTAGTGTATGAAGCTATGTGTAGACGATTCTGAATCAGGTCTAAACCAGAGACCAGAGAGAGAGACTAGAGAGAGACCAGAGAGAGAGACTAGAGAGAGACACCAGAGAGAGACCAGAGAGGGAGACCAGAGAGAGAGACTAGAGAGAGACCAGAAAGAGAGACTAGAGAGAGACACCAGAGAGAGACACTGACTAGAGGGAGACTAGAACGAGAGACCAGAGAGAGGAGACCAAAGGGAGACCAGAGAGAGACCAGAGAGACCAGAGAGAGACAAGGGAAAAGAGACCAGAGAGAGACCAGAGAGAGACCAGAGAGAGACAAGGGAAAAGAGACCAGAGAGAGACAAGGGAAAAGAGACCAGAGAGTGACCAGAGAGAGACCAGAGAGAGACAAGGGAAAAGAGACCAGAGAGTGACCAGAGAGAGATACCAGAGAGAGACCAGAGAGAGACCAGAGAGAGAGACCAGAGAGAGACCAGAGAGAGACCAGAGAGAGACCAGAGAGAGTTACAGCTAAGTAACTAATGGATATATATTACATCAATAGGAATATCGCGGATAAAGATAGATTCTGTAGATTCTGGGACCAGCGACGCATTAGACCAGCCTCAAAGTCCCTCCTGGTTTACATTTCAAACCTATGACATCATCACAGACATCAAAAGAACAGTTTATGCTCAGTAACCATAGTCCATTACTGTCTTTCATTCCTGGACTGCCTCGTCACGTCGCTCAGAGCGTCCCTCCCGTGAGACGGCAGCGGCTGATTGGCTGAACCTAACGCTGTTTGTATTTGTGCATGTCTCTCTGGCTCCGACTTCTTCTTCTTCTTGGCGTTGACCCAAATTGCTTCATGGTCCGGCCAAGGCTCTTTCATCCCATTGGCTACATTTACGTTTGTGAAATTTGGCTTTTTCCCAGCGACGGTATAAGACCAGAGAGACCAGAGAGAGAGAGAGACCAGAGAGAGAGACCAGAGAGAGAGTGACCAGAGAAAGAGTGACCAGAGAGAGAGACCATAGAGAGTGACCAGAGAGAGTGACCAGAGAGAGTGACCAGAGAGAGAGAGCAGAGAGAGAGACCAGAGAGAGTGACCAGAGAGAGTGACCAGAGAGATTGACCAGAGAGAGACCAGAGAGAGAGACAAGAGAGACCAGAGAGAGACCAGAGAGAGAGACCAGAGAGAGACCAGAGAGAGAGACCAGAGAGAGAGACCAGAGAGAGACCACAGAGAGACCAGAGAGAGACCAGAGAGAGACCAGAGAGAGAGACCAGAGAGAGAGACAAGAGAGACCAGAGAGAGACCAGAGAGAGAGACCAGAGAGAGAGTGACTAGAGAGAGAGACCAGAGAGAGTGACCAGAGAGAGTGACCAGAGAGATTGACCAGAGAGAGACCAGAGAGAGAGACAAGAGAGACCAGAGAGAGACCAGAGAGAGAGACCAGAGAGAGACCACAGAGAGACCAGAGAGAGACCAGAGAGAGAGACCAGAGAGAGAGACCAGAGAGAGACCACAGAGAGACCAGAGAGAGACCAGAGAGAGACCAGAGAGAGAGACCAGAGAGAGAGACAAGAGAGACCAGAGAGAGACCAGAGAGAGAGACCAGAGAGAGACCACAGAGAGACCAGAGAGAGACCAGAGAGAGAGACCAGAGAGAGAGACCAGAGAGAGACCACAGAGAGACCAGAGAGTGACCAGAGAGAGTGACCAGAGAGAGAGAGCAGAGAGAGAGTGACCAGAGAGAGAGTGACCAGAGAGAGAGGCCAGAGAGAGAGACCAGAGAGAGAGTGACTAGAGAGAGAGACCAGAGAGAGTGACCAGAGAGAGTGACCAGAGAGAGTGACCAGAGAGATTGACCAGAGAGAGACCAGAGAGAGAGACAAGAGAGACCAGAGAGAGACCAGAGAGAGAGACCAGAGAGAGACCACAGAGAGACCAGAGAGAGACCAGAGAGAGAGACCAGAGAGAGAGACCAGAGAGAGAGACCAGAGAGAGACCACAGAGAGACCAGAGAGAGACCAGAGAGAGACCAGAGAGAGAGACCAGAGAGAGAGACCAGAGAGAGACCAGAGAGAGTCTCATCTCTTCTGTATCAGATACCTGGATTTCCAATGACAGATGCATATTTCTGCTGATCATTGGTTGGTTGTACTTTTATGCAGCAGAATGGAATGGTAAACGCCCAAACAGTGGTTGTTTAAAGATTCATGAGAGAATAAATCATAACTCAGCCAATAATAAAAATGGGACGCGTCAAACCACGGAGCTGCTTTCATTATTTATCACACAGATAAACTTTGCCACTTAGATCCCGGCAGACGGAGGGGAGACACCGGGCTGCAATCACGGCACATCATGATGGATTTGTCAGGGTGTATGTCCGTCTCCTGAGGTCTGAATACAGGAGGAGGAGGAGGAGGAGGAGGAGGGGAGGAGGGGAGGAGGAGGAGGGGGGGAGGAGGAGGAGGGAGGAGGGGAGGGGGAGGGAAGGAGGAGGAGGAGGAGGGAGGAGGAGGAGGGAGGAGGAGGAGGGGGAGGAAGGAGGAGGAGGAGGAGGAGGAGGGAGGAGGAGGAGGAGGAGGGGAGGAGGGGAGGAGGAGGAGGAGGAGGAGGAGGGGAGGAGGGAGGAGGAGGAGGAGGGGGGGGGAGGAGGAGGAGGAGGAGGGAGGAGGGGAGGAGGAGGAGGGGGGGAGGAGGAGGAGAGGAGGAGGGGGGGGGAGGGGAGGAAGGAGGAGGAGGAGGAGGAGGAGGAGGAGGGGGAGGAGGAGAGGGGGAGGAAGGAGGAGGAGGAGGAGGAGGAGGAGGAGGGGAGGAGGGAGGAGGAGGAGGAGGGAGGAGGAGGAGGAGGGGAGGAGGGGAGGGAGGAGGAGGAGGAGGAGGAGGAGGGGGGAGAGGAGGAGGAGGAGGAGGGGGGGGGGGGAGGAGGAGGAGGGAGGAGGGGAGTAGGAGGGACGAGGAGGAGGAGGGACGAGGAGGAGGAGGAGGGGGTTCTGGTACTGAAGTGTTAACGTGGACTTTGTATGCCAATAGATGTATGCCATCAGAGATGCAGCCAAGAGGCCCATGATCACTCTGGATGAACTGCAGATAACTACAGCTGAGGTGGGGATGGTGTGTTCAGGGTGACGAGCTGTGTTGCTTTTACGCCAAACATATTGTTTTGCATTGTGGCCAAAAAGTTTGATTTTGGTTTCATCTGACCAGAGCACCTTCTTCCACATGTTTGGTGTGTCTCCCAGGTGGCTTGTGGCAAACTTTAAATGAGACTTTTTATGGATATCTTTGAGAAATGGCTTTCTTCTTGCCACTCTTCCATAAAGGCCAGATTTGTGCAGTGCACGACTGATTGTTGTCCTATGGACAGACTCTCCCACCTCAGCTGTAGTTATCTGCAGTTCATCCAGAGTGATCATGGGCCTCTTGTCTGCATCTCTGATCAGTCTTCTCCTTGTTTGAGATGAAAGTTTGGAGGGACGGCCGGGTCTTGGTAGATTTTCAGTGGTCTGATACTCCTTCCATTTCAATATAATTGCTTGCACAGTGCTCCTTGAGATGTTTAAAGCTTGGGAAATCTTTTTGTATCCAAATCCGGCTTTAAACTTCTCCACAACAGTATCTCGGACCTGCCTGGTGTGTTCCTTTGTCTTCATGGTTCTCTCTGCGCTTTAAACAGAACCCTGAGACTATCAAAGAGCAGGTGCATTTATACGGAGACTTGATTACACACAGGTGCATTCTATTTATCATCATCAGTCATTTAGGACAACATTGGATCATTCAAAGATCCTCACTGAACTTCTGGAGTGAGTTTGCTGCACTGAAAGTAAAGGGGCCGAATAATATTGCACGCCCCACTTTTCAGTTTTTCATTTGTTAAAAAAGTTTAAATTATCCAATAAATTTCGTTCCACTTCACGATTGTGTCCCACTTGTTGTTGATTCATGACAAAAAAATTAAATGTTATATCTTTATGTTTGAAGCCTGAAATGTGGCAAAATGTTGAAAGGTTCAATGGGGCCGAATACTTTCGCAAGGCACTGTAGCTACAGTCTCAATGAAGAAAATAAAAGATAATGAACATGTTTAACATTCGGCCCACATCATAAACATAGGTACAGCTGTTATGCAGAGTTCAGATTTATTTCTCGTCCTTTCTCTGGAAATACTTTTAAACTCTCTATGACACTGGGAATAATGCTTATGCCGACCATGTACTCATAATCTTCTTCACTTCACATTCTAAAAACTAAGACATTAATAACAAGAAACATCCAAACGACCACATATATAATTGTTTACGTTTCCTTGAGTCGGTAGTTCTTTCTCCCCAGGCTTCCAAACCTACCCTAGTTCACCTCGACTAGTTGCAGCTTTAGACCTCCTTTTAATTCAAACATATTTACTGATTTAAAATATTAGCCGTTTCCTTCTACAGCTGCATCTCTATAGAATCTAATTGCTTCGTTCTCGTGCTAACGCTAACGCTAACAAGGCAAAAAAACAGAAAACCCAGCAGGCCTCCTTCTCCCTGGAGCTGGTGGAGGCAGCAGATGATCAACCGAGGGACCCGACAACTGGGATCTCACTTTTGAATTAATTTGCAGCATATTTCTCGCCTCAGCCGCCAAGGATTAGCTCGCCGCGCAGCTAGCGATAGACGGACACTTCGGAGACATGACTGGTCAAGCTGCTTGTTATTTTTTAGCAGCAAGTTTTGACATTTCTCCGGCAGAGCTCTTCCAATATGTCCCATGATGCTTCGCACGTCAAGCAGAGGGGGCTGGCTCTCTTTCTGGTCTCTCTCGCTGGTCTCTCTCTGGTCTTTCTCTCTGGCCTCTCTCTGCTCTCTCTCTGGTCTCTCTCTGGTCTTTCTCTGGTCTTTCTCTGGTCTCTCTCTGGTCTCTCTCTGGTCTCTCTGGTCTCTCTGGTCTCTCTCTGGTCTCTCTTTGGTCTCTCTTTGGTCTCTCTCTGGTCTTTCTTTGGTCTCTCTCTGGTCTTTCTCTGGTCTCTCTCTGGTCTCTCTCTGGTCTCTCTCTCTGGTCTCTCTCTGGTCTCTCTCTGGTCTCTCTCTGGTCTCTCTCTGGTCTCTCCCTCTGGTCTCTCTCTCTGGTCTCTCTCTCTGGTCTTTCTCTGGTCTTTCTCTGGTCTCTCTCTGGTCTCTCTGGTCTCTCTGGTCTCTCTCTGGTCTCTCTCTGGTCTCTCTCTGGTCTCTCTCTGGTCTTTCTCTGGTCTCTCTCTGGTCTCTCTCTCTGGTCTCTCTCTGGTCTCTCTCTCTGGTCTCTCTCTCTGGTCTCTCTCTGGTCTCTCTCTCTGGTCTCTCTCTGGTCTCTCTCTGGTCTCTCTCTCTGGTCTCTCTCTGGTCTCTCTATCTGGTCTCTCTCTAGTCTCTCTCTGGTCTCTCTCTAGTCTCTCTCTCTGGCCTCTCTCTGCTCTCTCTCTGCTCTCTCTCTGCTCTCTCTCTGGTCTTTCTCTGGTTTCTCTCTCTGGTCTTTCTCTGGTCTTTCTCTGGTCTTTCTCTGGTCTTTCTCTGGTCTTTCTCTGGTCTCTCTCTGGTCTCTCTGGTCTCTCTGGTCTCTCTCTGGTCTCTCTCTGGTCTCTCTCTGGTCTCTCCCTCTGGTCTCTCTCTCTGGTCTCTCTCTGGTCTCTCTCTGGTCTCTCTCTCTGGTCTCTCTCTGGTCTCTCTCTCTGGTCTCTCTCTGGTCTCTCTCTGGTCTCTCTCTCTGGTCTCTCTCTGGTCTCTCTCTGGTCTCTCTCTGGTCTCTCTCTGGTCTCTCTCTCTGGTCTCTCTCTGGTCTCTCTCTCTGGTCTCTCTCTCTGGTCTCTCTCTCTGGTCTCTCTCTGGTCTCTCTCTGGTCTCTCTCTCTGGTCTCTCTCTGGTCTCTCTCTGGTCTCTCTCTCTGGTCTCTCTCTCTGGTCTCTCTCTGGTCTCTCTCTGGTCTCTCTCTCTGGTCTCTCTCTGGTCTCTCTCTGGTCTCTCTCTGGTCTCTCTCTGGTCTCTCTCTGGTCTCTCTCTCTGGTCTCTCTCTGGTCTCTCTCTCTGGTCTCTCTCTGGTCTCTCTCTCTGGTCTCTCTCTGGTCTCTCTCACTCTGGTCTCTCTCTGGTCTCACTCTGGTCTCTCTCTCTGGTCTCTCTCTGGTCTCTCTCTCTGGTCTCTCTCTCTGGTCTCTCACTCTGGTCTCTCTCTGGTCTCTCTCTCTGGTCTCTCTCTGGTCTCTCTCTGGTCTCTCTCTCTGGTCTCTCTCTGGTCTCTCTCACTCTGGTCTCTCTCTGGTCTCTCTCTGGTCTCTCTCTCTGGTCTCTCTCTGGTCTCTCTCACTCTGGTCTCTCTCTGGTCTCACTCTGGTCTCTCTCTGGTCTCTCTCTGGTCTCTCTCTCTGGTCTCTCTCTGGTCTCTCTCACTCTGGTCTCTCTCTGGTCTCACTCTGGTCTCTCTCTCTGGTCTCTCTCTCTGGTCTCTCTCTGGTCTCTCTCACTCTGGTCTCTCTCTGGTCTCACTCTGGTCTCTCTCTGGTCTCTCTCTGGTCTCTCTCACTCTGGTCTCTCTCTGGTCTCTCTCTCTGGTCTCTCTCTCTGGTCTCTCTCTGGTCTCTCTCACTCTGGTCTCTCTCTGGTCTCTCTCTCTGGTCTCTCTCTGGTCTCTCTCACTCTGGTCTCTCTCTGGTCTCTCTCTCTGGTCTCTCTCTAGTCTCTCTCTGGTCTCTCTCTGGTCTCTCTCTGGTCTCACTCTGGTCTCTCTCTGGTCTCTCTCTGGTCTCTCTCTGAAAACATAGCAACTTTGAAACAAGCAACAATGTCCATATGAAAATTCTCTTTTAACTGCAAAAAGTGATGAAAAATAAGTAAATAATTCAAAACATATTTTTTCACAACTTGTTAAGAAAAGAACCATGGACCATTGATCTCAATACCATCAAACCCTCACATTCGTACCAGTTCCCAGCCTTAACAGTGTTAATTCTAAAATGCAAACCCTGGCATCGCAGCAGCCTCGGACACATCCTTCTTCTCCTAAATCTGCCTTTTCTGTGATTTAGAAACTTTTCCCAGCATTCCCTTCCCCTCCGGCGCTAAGCTAACGTAGCGCGGCTAGCGGATCCATCCCCGGGGCATCATTTAGTTGGAGCCCAAGTGAAAAACTGTCTTTTATTGACACAAGAAATGCTAATGGTTCTAAAGCTGGGCTGGATCCACAAAGGGAACGGGACGAGACAGAAGCAGTGTGTTTTTGGAAAGGACAGTTTTACTGCAGCGACAGCGTGAGCTTCAGGATCCAGATCTGTGGAAACGACCCAAGAGAGAGAGAGACCAGACAGAGAGAGAGAGAGACCAGAGAGAGACCAGAGAGAAAGAGAGAGAGACCAGACAGAGAGAGAGAGACCAGAGAGAGACCAGAGAGAAAGAGAGAGAGACCAGACAGAGAGAGAGAGACCAGACAGAGAGAGAGAGACCAGAGAGAGACCAGAGAGAAAGAGAGAGAGACCAGACAGAGAGAGAGAGAGACCAGAGAGAGACCAGACAGAGAGAGAGAGACCAGAGAGAAAGAGAGAGAGACCAGAGAGAGAGACCTTATTGATCAAATAAACACAAAAAATACAGAATTCTTAAAAGTTACTTACAAATGTAATGTAGTTCTCTCTTGTCTCTAGAACATAGAGAGACCAGAGAGAGACCAGAGAGAGACCAGAGAGAGACCAGAGAGAGACCAGAGAGAGAGACCAGAGAGAGAGACCAGAGAGAGACCAGAGAGAGACCAGAGAGAGACCAGAGAGAGACCAGAGAGTGACCAGAGAGAGACCAGAGAGAGGGACCAGAGAGAGAGACCAGAGAGAGACCAGAGAGAGACCAGAGAGAGACCAGAGAGAGACCAGAGAGAGACCAGAGAGAGGCCAGAGAGTGAGACCATAGAGAGAGACCAGAGAGTGAGACCATAGAGAGAGACCAAAGAGAGACCAGAGAGAGACCAGAGAGTGAGACCATAGAGAGAGACCAGAGAGAGACCAGAGAGT